TATCAGGTTCCCCCTCTCTCCCAGGGCAGAGACCTCCTTCCTCTTTGGCAGCTGGCAGGGCACTGCCTCTGGCCCCAGCCCCTAGGGTTTATAAGGGAGCCAGGCCCTGCCCCTTCTGGTCAGCTGACCTTCCCTAGTTGCCCCGGCAACCTACAGCTGAGCTCCTTATTCCCTACTAGGGAGGAAGCCCTAGCAGTTTCCCCTCTTTGGGAGCAGGGCACCTCAGTGCTCTGTGACAAATGGCTATGCATGTTCATGGCAGGTGGAGATTATTGAACAATTCCAGTACTGTCCTAAGAGCAATACTACTATTCTTGTGAGACGTATCATCACATTTTCTTTTCTTCTGAACAGCTGTCCCTGGGCCATATGGACAATAAAAATATGAAGGAGGATTTCCAAACATATTCAGCAGTGGCCAAACTTTGCTTCTCACTGAAGTCAAAAGGAAAACTCCCATCAACCTCAGCACAAAGAGAATTACACTCATGTTGAGTGCTTTGAAACATCCCACTACAAATTTTTTATGCAGTGACTTATTTATGTGCTTGAAAGGTATTCACGTTCAACCTTTACTGTGACAACATTAATCCACAGATGCTCTGATGGTTTCATTTCCTCATGTGTCACTGTTGTGGCTGTGTTTTGTGTATGAATTTGCACACACATTGCCATGAGGATAAGGCTACGTTTGGGTCATATTTTGATATATAACAGAAGGAGGTTCTGGCTCCTTCTATGAACAAACCAATGACAGGGTGACCTTGTACCCTAACTGGAAAGGAAATCCAGAAAAGAAGTCACCACTATGTGTTACACCAGGTACTCAGCATGGATAATCAGAAACGTTTTCTGCTGGAGCATTCTGCTGGATTTTATCTTTGAGACATTATCAGAGCACAGGAGAGGCAGGAATCTGATGCTACACATGCTTTATGGCTGGAGCAGAGGCGGATCCAGAGAAGTGTGGTGGGCGAGGTCACATCATCCCTTCAGCTGTGCCTCACATACCCAGTGACCTCAGGCTCATCAGCACAGGTCCTGCCAGAGATCCACAAGCAGTGAGCTCTCCAGCTGATTAGCATAGAGCTACACATGCATTAAGCTCTCTGAGCTCACCAGATGGTTAATGTAGGTCCCGCCAGAGCTCCACTTGCACAGGGAGCTCTCACAGAGCCTGACAGGCCTTGTGCTGATCAGCTGGTGAGCCCAGAGAGCTCAGCACACGTGCACTGCACTGCACTGCATAACCAAACAGGTGTGGCAGCACACAGCCCCCTCATCCCCCAGTCCTGAATCTATCCATAGGTTGGCGTTGTTTCAAGCAAAGCTATTTTTTTATATCATTAGTTTTGATACTATCTAAAAAAGCAGCATATCAACAAAAATATATAGTGATTTTGAAGCAGTGCAAGTTAACTTGCATTTTGTATGCACAAAAGAACCCAATTTGATATACATATTCACTGCCATTTTTAATATTATAAGATATAACCATATAATTAGGAGTGGCAATCGTGGTACAGGATTATAAACACTGCATGTCCCAACATTAATATCACATGCTCCCTGCAGATGGCGCAGACAGCCTGAATGTGCCCAATACAAAGGTGGTCTGGTAAAAAAATGAGTTTGTTACCTGATCTTCTGATTGTTGATATCTTCCATTGTGAAATTATAAACTTCCACAAGCTCCCCATTATACAGTCCAGAGGCCCGTAAAAGGGTGCCGTACATAGGCAGAGATATTAATTGAATTGTGATCTCTGAGTCGGGAGAATTATTATCCTAACATGAAAAATAAACCAAACAGCAAAATTAGCTTTTGTTTCTCTACATTGGGCATGGAAGAAAATAAGGCAGATGGTGAAATATCTAAAGATGGTGAAAGCTGACCAAGCTTCATTGAGTAATGCTGACTTCTTTGGAATTTAATGCAGAGTGTGTATTTATTTTCACATAACTAAAAGGCACTCTATCTCTACCACACATATATGCTCACTCAGATATGTCTTGTATATTTTATTGTCAAATCACATGAAATTCCAAGTAGAATTTCTCCTACCATTAATACCTAGTGGCTGGTCACAGATAACTGAGATGAAATATACTGATGTGTGTCACAGAAAATATGCAAAGATTGGGCTAAATTCAGCTCTTAGTTACAGCAGTGTAACTGTGGAACAATTGTATTAAAGTCAATGGACTGCTTCTGGATTTACACTGGTGAAGCAAAGAGCTGGATTTGGCCCATTTAATTAACCGTCTCCAATTATATGATGATGTATCCAAATCTGCATCTTTACTTAACACTTCTGGGAAGAAAACATACCATAAGATTCAAGTTCTGAGCCATCTTACTCTGAACATACGTAGTCAAATCTTTGCTTTACTGGTAAGTGTAGGCTAGCACATAGACCCACATTATGTGTATTCATGGCCTTCTTTCTATATCTATAAAACAAGTGTCAAAAAAAAAATCACAGACACCAGGTATGAACTTTCTGATGTCATCACCATGAAAAGCATCGTAAACCAATGGCATCTGTTATTTTTTGTAATGCTTTACAATGGTGTCTATACTCCATTCCCTCCTGCATTCTGGGCCTTTTCAAAAATGATTTTCTAATAGAATAATCAATGAAATGCCTAAAAATTACCCTAATATAAATTTCTCAATGCAATGAGTAGCAATCTATCCATATAACAGAAGTAAAATCCACTACCGTGCTGGAACCTCACTCCCAGGGGCCTGAGATGCATCAGATTTTGCAGTTATGTACTGTACGTGACACCAGACCAGTGTCAACATTTCCCACCATATTCCTCTTACAGCTGAGGCTCCTGTAGTCATGTGAGCATTTCAGCTTTCATTTAAAAAAAATCTTTCTAGCCCTCATGATGTTAAGAGAAAAGCCTGAAATTGGGATCCGAGTGCATTCAGAAACCAGAAGGTAAGGAAAACATGTCCTCTTAAATGCTGTGATTTTTACACGTGTCACACCATTTGGGAAGTTTGAATCAATATTGGTGAATGTGCAGGTTTTGGCACACCACTGTCATGCTGTGAAATAAAAAGCTATAAAGGCTACTATTTCTAGGAATGCAAAAAGTATTCACTCAACCTAAGGGAAAAAAGGAGGCAGTGAGTGAAATCCTCAGCTGAAGAAGTGGGTTAATTGTCTTGTAAATCAGGGGAGCAAATGCCCACATTTCTGGGCTTGCCAGAACCTGAAAAGAATATTGTAAAGTTACCAACTTTCACCACGTTATCTAATACATGAAAGGGGACTCCCATGGATGGGTCCTCCACAGCCCCACCCAATAATTCCACTCTCTCCACTACAACTTCCTTCTTTTTTCCAATCTCATGCTACTGCCTTCCTGACAAACACGTCCCTGAGGGCTTCCACTGTAGGTTTCTCTCAACCAAAACCACCTTAGGACAGTTTTGCCTCCTTCTGTTTAACATTGTGCAATGAAGAACAGCCCAACAGTTATCACAGAATCATAGAGAAGTAGGGCTGGAAGAGACCTTCAGAGATCATCTACTCCAACCTCCTGCCTGAGGCAGGATCATTCCTATCCAAAGCATCCTATAAAATGCAGTTACAACTGCTGTCTTCTATCCTTCCTATCTCTAGTAAAACTATGGATCCCATTTTACATTAAAGAATTGTACAGACATGAGGGAACTTCTTCAAAAGCACCAAGCTCCCATTTTTAAAAGTCCCTCTTAGTAGCTGAAATTCCATGAACTTTTCATTAAATGTATGCTCCTGCCAGCAATGCTTACACAGATTTTTAGGTATCTAAAAATGAAGAGAGGTACTTAAATGGAATTTACATAAATGCCAAAGCCAGCAATTCTCAACTAGGGTGCCCCCAAATCCTTTGAAGGGTAGTATGAGATGTGAGGAGATAAGCAGATAAGCCAGGCACAGGCTTGTCCTTACATGGACAACTCCGCACTCCTACTCCCCAGCCTCTGTGTGAGGAGGTAAGCACTGTAATATATAAATTTGTTTTTAAAATTGGGTGCCGCTCAATTCACAAATGTTATGGAGGGGTGCCTTGAGTCCAGTAAAGGGTGCCTTGAGAGTCCATAAATGTTAATGACCACTGGCCTGAGCCAATGCAAGTAAGGTACCTAGCCTACTTAAGAATCTATCTTTAGGTGCCTAACTATTTACATAATATGGCCCTAAATGACTTGTAAAAATGGGACTTAGGCACCTGAGTCACTTGCAATGCAAGTCAAAATGGGGCTCTAACAATGAAGCAGTATGGGCACAGCAGTGATCTTGACACTGGCTGCCTTTGTGGACTATGAGGTACAATAGCTATGAATTCCAGGAGTTTATCCAAACCTCTAAGTATCTAACTGGTTAGTACTTTAAAAGTAGCACTCTTTCAGCTGTTAATAGGCAAAAAAGATTCCCCAGGGACCATTTTAATGTTAGATGAGCACCATTCAAATTTCAGTGGTCTACTAATTCAATTTACTTACAGAGATTTCAGTGGTCTACTAATTCATTTACTTACAGAGAGTCATAATTTCTGCAAGACATAACGTTGGCTCAAAAAGACCCTAATACATTAGGGCAGGGGTGACAAATTCCTCCAGCTCCATGGGGCTGGAGGAGGCATAAAGCTTTCCCTTTCTCCCTCCCCCAGTATATCTGATCCAGTGGCTGCTCCAGTTGGTCTGGGACCTGCACGGGTGCAGTGCAAATCCAGAGTGGCTGGAACGAGCGCTGCATGTAGTACAGTCCAGCTGGAGCAGCAGCCACACTGCAAGCATTGGTCAGCTTGCACCACACACAGTGCCTGCCTCAGCCAGCCTGGGACCCATGCTACAAACCCAAGAGTGTCCAAGACAACAACTTTTTAGAAAGTGGTGCAGAAACACTGCTCTCCAGCTCTGACACCTTTATAACTCTGACAGCTCTATGTTTCTATCCAAAGCTAATTTTACAATTTATATAAAGCCGTGAATTTAGTCTATTAAAACACTGATGGACCTTAAGAAGATTGCCCGGTAGTGTTTATAAATGTACCTAAATATTAGGCATGAGCTCTGCCTACAGTAGAAAGGTAATTATATAGAAGTGTAATTAACCCCTGAGTGTGGATGCACTAATACTGCTATAAAAGTGATTATGCCAGTACAGGTTATCCCCAGACTGAAAGGGAAATAAGCTCTTCTTGTAAAGAGCCATACCCATATAAAGAAAGTTAAGTTAAGCACAGGAGCCTCTTATCTACTGTCAGTTACTACAATACCGGTTCTCTAACTTTTGACACCTAGAAAATAGCTTACAAAATGTCACAGGTGAAGTACACTCCTATGCAGAACATGATGCCTATGCACCACAGACCTGCTTCAGTGGGGATGCCATGACACAAAGGCATTTGAACCAGCATTCTGCATATGGGTGAATATTACCCTCATGGGATACCAGAAGCTGTCATCTTACCATTAACAAAACAGGGATGTGAAAGCTGGGACTACACATCCAAAATGAAAACTGAGTTCATCCTAAGTTTATGCACTAAGTTTCAGATCTAAGCAGACTCGAAGTCATTGGGTGTGTACATTCATTTAAATTAAAACCAATAAAACTAATTTTCATCTGTTTTCTTAAACTACCTCATCACTTCAATATATGACTGCATTCTAGTAGGGCATTGAGTGACATGTCTAATGCGTGTTGCATGTTGTTCATATTCTGTCTCCTCCTCAGTCCAGGAAAGAATTTGCTATTAAACGCATTGCTACTAAGAAATCTGGTATTTCACATGACACCTCCTGAGAGGGAAATCTCACTTGGCTGTAGTCAGCAAACCATAGTATTTTCACATGATATCACAGAATGCTGCATTCTGGTTTGAGGGGAAAAAGGCATATCAAGCCAGAAAAAGTCAGTCAAAAAGTTTTAAAAGGATTATTGCTGAGCAAACCCATATGTTTAGTTAGCAGGGATGTTTTGTGCATAAATCTGGGATTAACTCAATTTTTATTTTGGCTCTGCAGTTCACCTTTATTTCAGGCAGATAGCCTCAAAAACCCACTAAGATGAAAGAGCCTACTAAGATGAAAGAGCTCATTATTCCTTTTTTGGCATCTGTGGTCAAAACACAGCAAAAAGTTAAAGTGGTTGCCAAGAATCAATATTCTGAAAGTGCAGGAGTGCACGCTGCTGAGAGCCTACCAAAAGGGGAGAACACTAAATACTAAGAATTCATTTGGACAAGGAAGGAATAGATACAAACTTACAATGTAAGCTAGGTGTGACCGAGAAAATGTCACAGAGCTTTTACTATCCACTGTGACAGTCAGCAAGCAGCCTGGAGCTAACCGTGGACTGTTGCTGTCCATCAGTGATACTTCCACTCTCAGTACAGTAGTTGCAGTGGTAACGCCATCGGTCACAGAGATTTCCATGCTGTCCTCTGCTGCAGATGAGCCATCGTGCACATACTGCAAAGCATTTTGGGTGATGTCTTCGTACGTGAAAGTATCACCTTCCCAGAAAGAAATGCGAAACAAATAATGAGTCACTGCCCAGTGCACCAATTCAGCTCAAAGGCCTAAGGCCCTGACTCAGTTAAGCACTTACGCATGTTCTTAGTTGTTGTTTAATATACTCCTTACAGGTGTGTGGTCTCCCATTCTATTGGGGATTTCAGTAGTGAGCTACTATGTGCACAGGGCGGAGCCATAACCTTCATAAACACACTGTGACAAAACAAAGGGTGTTTGACGAACAGCCCTTCCCATTTCTTGCCCAACTGCTTCTTAGACATTTGTCTAATATAAAGGCCTTGAGCCCTGATCTTTACAGTAGCACTGCCCCCCTCCTCCCCCACCCCACCACACACAACACCTTTTGTTTGTACTGCTTTCTTGTAAATCAAATTTGTCTCTGATAAGGAGCTGAAACCTGCAACCTCTAAAGACAAACTGCCCATAAGACTGAGCCTCTGAACAGCATCTTGATCAATTGACAGTGATGGAATTATGCTGACATCATCTGGAACGTCCAATTCATTTATTTATTTATTCAGATTTACACAGTATAAAAATGGTCTTGCAAGAAGCTCTAAGCACCCTAACAATTGGTTAAACTTACCCAAACATAATGATTTACCAATCTGCAACAATACAAAGTCATGTACACAAAGGACATTAACCCATCCAAAGAGTGACATTTATATAAACACATGTAGGAAACAAATTAACTTGTCTGAAGAATAAATCAGAGCAACAGAAAAGTACCTTTAATTTTCCCTCCCTTTGCACATCCTATGAATACACCGTCAGACTAGAGACAGGCCCTAGGAATATTCAGCCTCTTAGGGTGAGACTATGGGCCAAATTAGTCAGGGGCAAAATACTGTAGAGCAGGCCAGCAAAAAGCTTATGCATTGCTTAAGTCTCCACGGGGATGAACTTCATCCCATAAATACAGGCACAAACAACCCCACTGAAGTCATCATACTTTGGAAATCACAAAAACTATTACCACCAACATTACCACGGCCAGCACCAGTGTGCTTGATTATAGCAACGGTCCCCAACCATTCACATGTTTTTGAAGCATCACTACCATGTTCTATACTGTGCAATAATAATTACGATTCCATTAATGCTTCTGAGAGTTTCTAATTGGCCATGACCAGCAGTGTATTATTAATTATAATTGTATTTATATAAAATATAAATATATACATGGGAGCCACATAACTGAGCCAGTAGGGCAACTGGCTATGGACTGGAAGGGCCTGGTTTGATCCCAGGTAAGGGTGGTGGGTTTCTACTTCCAGCATAGCCCCAAGGCTCACCCCAGTTTCTTATCCCATGGATACCAGGAGTAAATGTAGCTGGAACAGGGGTGGGCAAAATCTGGCCTGCCAAGCCATTCTGTCTGGCCCATGGGGCCCCTAAAAAGATTTTTAAAATTAATATTTATCTGCCCCTTACTAAGGTAAAAAATGACAGGAGCCAGGGGCAGCAGGACCCAAGGGAAGTCATGGCAGGCCCCTGGAACAGCAGAGCCCACCTGGCTTCTGGCCTGGGACCATGGGGCTGTTCATGTCTGCACTGGTGTGGGAAATTCAGGTAAGAGTGTGGGGTGGGGAGGCAGGGAAGGACTGTGGGTGATCACTGAGTCCAGCTCCTGCAGGGTCCTGCGGTCAGGCCATGCAGCCAGAAGCAAGCAAGTACACAGGGCCCGCGACTGTGTCTGCGCTCCCAGGAGGCCGGGGGCTGCTGTGGAAGGGCCTGTCTGGCCCTGGCAGCATCACAGGGGGCGCACGGGGCTACTGGGGGCAGCATAGGCTGGTAGGGACATGGCCTGGGACACGGGAAGCACAGGGAGGCAGCAAGGAAGTTACATCGCACACAAGGCTTGGGGCAGCCATGGCTTGGCTGCCCCCCCACCACGGGTGGCCCCGGTGGGTGCCGCTGCCTCGGGGGGAAGGCCCAGGCTTCCCTGCCCTGCAGGGGCCCTGTGGCCCACTGGCAGCTTGCCCCCTGGGCCCCAGGATGGGCAGGGAGGCTGCACCAGGAGTCAGAGCAGGGTCACAGCCGCTTTTGTGTTCTGGAGGCTCCTGCGGCTGCCAGTAACTGAGGGGCCATCCAGGAAGGGCCCGGCCAGCCTGGGGGACAGCATGGGGGTGTGGCCGAGGCCGCTGGGGGTGGCACAAGTCAGTGAGGACCCGGCACGGGCACTGGAAGCCTGGGGAGGCTCCCCCGAAGTTGGATGTGAGCAGTGCACTCGGGTTCTTGGCTATCGCAGACTGGGGGCAGGTGCTGGTCAGCTCAGTGAGGAGTGCACAGGGCACTCCCATGCACACCCCACATACACTGAAACCCTTCCTACAAATTCCACAGCCATAGCTTCCTCCGTACACAATCACACCTGCCACAAATACCACACACACACACACACACACACACACATCCACAGCTCCCCACAAACCCCACACCCATCCATATGCCCCCGACACCTCTGCACACCCCACACACTATACAAAAGTAAGACTGCATTTTGAGCTATTATGCAATCACTTCCACATATACAGCAAAAACACACACAAATCAGGACAAAAATATCTTTTTTAATTGAATTAAAATAAACTATTAAGGGTATTTGATTTTTAGTACATAATTTGTTTTTTTTCTGGTTCTAAGATAGCAAGCCCTCTTCCCCAAAGGAGTACTTCCAGGGGTAAGAAGAGGTACTTCCAGTGGCAAAAGTCAGAGGTTAGGGGTGGGACTTCCAGTCCCAAGATGGCAAGCAGGGGGCGGGGCACCTGTCAAGGGGCGGAGCTACCCATGCGGCCCTCGACAGCTTGCCAAAACTCGGTAAGCAGCCCTCCGCCTGAAATAATTGCCTGCCTCTGAGCTGGGACATGGTGCTGACCGCACTGTCTCATCATGGCAAAGTTAAGAAACAGTGGAGCCCTGCGCCTCTACTGCCCCAATAGGTGTCAATGGCCTGTAAATCAGATACCTCTACCTTCATAATTTTTATATATATTAAATTGATATTATATATGTGAAAATATATAAGGAAATTACAGGATTATAATTCTATTCTTATATAAACATTCTAGCTCAACTCCTTATTAAATGTGAAAAAACAAACAGATAGAGAAAATATGCTGGACTTAGTTGTTCCCCCTGTAATCCATCCTCTGACTCAGAGACCTGTGCAACTCACCTGCTCTCAAGTGGTCATGAACTCTGGTGCGGTTTTTGAGTAGAACCCCATGGCGAGGAGGTTCCACCAGCTCAAAGAAGAGATCTTCAGGAGCTGTGTCCACATCACTTACTTCCAGCTGAACCCCTGGCACAGGAACAAGGACAGACAGCTAGGTGTCACAACTGTTATCTACTATACAGCGAATTGTTCATAGGTCTTGTGAAAGCCACATACTGACATCAGGAAATTAACGGATTTGAACACATGTACGTTTGCCTGCCTGCTTGGAGATAATTAATCTTTGGTGATGCCAATGTCATAGGTTAAATTGGAGATATTATTGGAAATCTGCTTAGCAAGTGACATCTAGGATGATCCTGAACTCCTGGTAATGTGCAAGTAGATCAAGCATACAAGAAGTGAGAGGGCTGCAGTCAGTTTATCTATATGGCAGTGTAAGAAGTTCTGTATTTTTAGTGAGTTGCACAAGTTATTATCCTCTACAATATGTTTGAATGTATTACATGGCAGATATAAATTATGACTCTCGCTGAGGTGGAGATGAAATGTGAAGGGGGTGTGTGGCATGTGGGAGGGGGGGCTACCCATTTGCATAGCTAACAGAAGGTCTGGTCAGAATCCTAGCCTCTGGGCTCAACAGAACATGGGCACTGCTAACAAGACAAACCCCTGGTCTCAACTTATTCAAAAGGGAGGTAAAGATAAGACCGAGGCAGGGTTGTGAGTGCATCCCTCCAACCTGCCAGCCCATAAACATGGCTGGCCATACATGGGAGGAGTATGTTAGACTCTTAAAATGGGTGCAGCATTTTGTATATACTGACTTCTTGGAATAGTTCCCAAGGGCTCTGCTCTGCCCCTAATACAGGTGCTTCAATACATCCCAAGATCCCTCCCACAATGGTGAGAGATGGGTCCAGGCCAGAACTCTACCCAGCCGCCTGTGTGAGACTCACGGGTGATAAGCCCAGCATGTCTGGCCAAGGTCCACCAGCTGGTCCCTTCTGTCACCCTGACCTAGAATTCAGCGCTTGCTCCTGTTCTCTGCTCCTTACCGAGAGTAGCCTTGCCACCCTGGCTGACCTTCAGAAACGGAACGGTGGTCTGGAACACAGGAGGTTGCTGACCCACTGAGTCCAAATGAATCGTAAATGCCATCTCGGGGGTTACGTGTTCTCCGTCAGACACTGAAAGCAAATCAGCACACAACTGCATTTACTGCTCAAGTGTAAATGGTTTGTATTGCAAAGGCATCTGAAAACACATGCACAGCTTCCCACCTTTGCCCAGTGATTGCCTGACTATAGTAATCTCGTACCCCTTCTCCACTTATATCACTGTTTAGGAACATGTCTATGCACAGGACTCCAAAATTCAAGAGAAAAAGCGTTTACCGTAGCGCCCCATATCAATCACTAGCAGCACCGGTACACTGGGAAGAGTCAAGTTGACTGAGTGGGTGGGTGAATACATGCACATATGCATACTTCCTATATATCTCTATTTACAGTCTACACTGAACAAAGGCTCTTTTTAAGAACAGGGGCTATGTTTCATTCCCAGCACATTAAAAAGGGTTGAAAAACACTAAATAGAACTTCAGGTTACTAATGTGATTTGTTGAGTCACTGAGTCAAAAACTTTTACATCCTTATTCACATCAGTAGGGTTTTCAACTTCATAAGGCCTTCAAGATTTGAGGTAATGGTCAGGGAAGGGGCACACCTGTTACCCATTAAACCACTCCTAGACCCTACCAAAAACTCAGTGTCTTCAGTATATTCTAATCCATTATTTGTGGCATAAGAAAGTAAGCATTTCAGATCTTTCTAAAACTTCTCCTTAAGACTTGTAGAAGTGCATGAAGTAAAGGAAGGGAAAAGCATGAGCAGGTAAAATAAAGAAGGACAGGCAGGAAAAGTACCATGCCTCTTGTAGCAAAGAAAGGACAAATGGTTTATATACCTATAAAACGAAAGTTCACTGATTCTGGGAGACCTGAAGGGAGGAAGACAAGAGGAGCACAGTTGTTAATGACATCAGCCCCCCCCCCCCCCCCCCCCCCAACACACCCACACACGGATTTTTATCCATTTTGTTTTGAACAAAACTTGATTCCTTTTCCGGTCCTGTTATTGAAGTAGTTCATTACACCTGCTTCAATGTAGGGTGCTGCAGCCAGCAGCTCCTGAAACCTAGTCATACATCAACCACTCACATGCCTTGGAATAAGCATAGCTCATTGAGCCTTGGAAATTGAGCATGACAAAAAAATTAGGGGAAACATCTGGAAATGCAGCAGTTAATCTCCCTTGTGCCTCAGATTCATCTGTAGGTTGAGTATGATAATACCACTCCCTTCTTTCAGGGATAACGCAAAGATTAACCACAGATTTGTACCGTGCTTTGTGATTTTTAAGACCCTGGAATTCAATATAGTTATCAGAGACACGCTTCAGTATTCTGGGTTACGTGATACCCAATGCTACAACAGGAATTACATAAAGTGGTATTTTTATGCCCTGGCAATTCCAGTGATTTACTAAAAATTGCTTTTGGGTTTCATTGCCTCAGCACAAGCAGCCCTACAAATCAGAGAATGGAAATGTCATCACCATCATATTTTACTCAGCGGGTCAGCTTCACCATGGGACAGAGTGATGTTACATTAGTCCACGAGTTTTCAACATGTGGTCTGCAGATCCCTGGGGGTTGGCAGGCTGTCTAAGGAGTTCACAAAATATGACTATGATCAATCAAAAGTATGTGAATACTTACACTTACAATTCAAATGGGTCTGGACCTCCATTCGAAATTTCCAAAGGGGTCCGCACCTCCATTTGAAATTTTTTAGGGGTCCACAAATGAAAAAATGGTTGAAACCACTGCTCTAGTCAAACTGGTTTGTGCCCTATGAAAGGGCAGAAAAGGGTTTACCTGCCTATACTTATACTTCCTTATGTCATTCTATGAGTTACTTGTTGTCTGCTCTCTTTGTGGAATGAAGCACCAGTTTTCAGAATACCCTACAGGATGCCTAATCTATCACAAGTACACATAGGAGATTTTTCTTCTTTTTAGTTCATTTACAGGATACTGCATTTATACAATGCTCATTTACAACATACACTAGCTCATTACGCACTAGCTGGCCATAAAGCTAAGTTGACTGGTTTTGCATGAAACAGCCTGTGAACAAAGCCCTTTAATACCAAACCCTATAGGGCTTCTCAAAGGGCCCATCTCTCAGAGAACATTACAATAATAAACTAAAACACTAGGGGCTGGGTTCAGTCAGACAGAAGTCTTCAAAGCAGGGACAACGGAGAACTGCCTTGTCACAGAAGGTGCCTGTGGAGTGACTGCATGCCAGGGAAGTTTAGCCTGTTCCCAAATTTCCTTCTGTGCAAAGGGAAAGGAGAACCAGGCAAGGCTCAACTGTCTCCCTGGGAAACAACGTATGCAGGGGTGAGCACATGAACTGAATCACAAATGGCTCTTGCACTCAGTACAAGAGGCAAGGGCAAGAGCCTCCTTGCTCTCCCCCTCATAATCAGGGATCCTGGTTTTCTTTAACTCTATGATAAAAAATCCAAAATTATCTGATTCAAAACCCCCAAATCCGTGTTTTTCCATGATTAAAATGAAACATCACTATATATATAGATATCAGTTGAACATGATGTTTTATTGATATATTTACAATTTTAAAGCAATTTGGAAGCCTACCAGTGCCTCAATCATTATTTCTTGCTCTGGAGAAAGGAAAGAAAAAAAAGCTGCTTCCTACAAGATATAAGGGGCAGGTGGGGAAGATGGGGCCAGGGAAATGAGGAGGACTAGCAGAGTAGCATAAATATGACCATCTAATCCCGCTGCAGCTGGACCCCTCTCAGGCTCTCCCTTCTAACACAGGACAGGCTGGTGGGATCCCTCCATCACTGGGCACATCCAGAGGCACTCCGGCCTGGCCCAGTTCAACCCATGGAGAGACAGCCTAATCCTGGCAGGTGTTTCACAATCCTGTGGTCTTGGTGCCACAGACCCATGCAACCAGGGAACCCGCCACTGCACCACCTGGACCCCCAGCCCGGCCGCTGTGGGGACCAGGAGTGGGGCCACTCTGATGCCTTCCAGTTCCCAATGGCACGTGTGATGGCCAGCTACGTCCAGTCCTGCTCAGTGCCTAACAGCATGGAGGCATCATGCTGTCCCCAAACAAGGCTATGCCCTTTGCCACACCATCCCCTGCTGGGCCTCAGGCTGCTCCAACCAGCTGCCTGCAGGAGGCAGCTGCGTGCATCCCCCAGGCAGGCACCTTCCACTGATGGCACCCAAAGTCAGCTGAGGTCAGGCTGCGGCTCCCTGCGAGTCAGGCCCTGGTCAGCTGGGCTGGGCGAAACTGGGGAGGGGCTGAATCCCCATCCCCATCTCTGTTCCCATCCCCTGATCCACGCTCCAAACTGGTTCTGAAGCAGCTGAGTTTTGGCTTCCCCAGTCAACCCTGGCTTTTCCTGGAGCAAGTCCTTCCTCTCTGTTTTCAGATCAGAGCAGGCCTCAGACACGTGAGCCCTCATGGCCCCTGGCACCGGGCCTTCAAGATCGCTCCCTGCCACCCCGATGTGGGCAGCCCACCACAGCTGTCCCCTGCCTTGTGGGACTCAGGCCCATGGGTCAAGAGCATCTTGCCAGACTCAGGCTGGCTCCTCTGACTTGGGCAGAGCTGGGTTTAAGGAGGATGAGAATTGCGGGGATTGGGGGGGTGGAATTAATGGGTCTTTATCTTACTTCATTGTCTTCACACCCTTATTCATATTAACTTTCCCATGTTGGCAAGTCCTAAAAGTTTCTAATGTGATTTGACTGCATGGGGGCAACTTGCATGCATGTGTAGAAGACACCTCCCCCTCTGGACAGGGCTCTGGAGAAAGGAAATGTTTTGTACCTTTTTTGCAAGAAGCTCATTGCAGGCTGGAACTCTGAAAGCCTGCAGATAGCTGTTTGCAAAAGGGAAAACCTGCAGTTTCCTGTTTCAAAGGGGAAAGTCCACTTTTTTTGCCTTTAAAGGGGAAAATCTGTAAGCCTGTATGAACCGGCTAGTATTTGCCTTGGATTTGGATTTGGCCATTTGGGGGACAGTGATTCGATCTGGTGATTTGAATCACTGTCCCAAATCGATTCAGCTGAATCTCATTCAAAGATTCAGCCGCCACTGGATCGGCCGAATCTCCTAATCAAACAGGCCCTATTCCCCACCCCAGTGTCTCGGCTCTTTAAAAAAAAAAAAGCCCTGCACTCACCAGCTGCTGCCAGGCCCCACACTCCCCCCGCTGCCATGAGCCCCCAGAAGCCCCTACAGCTGCTGCAGCAGCCGGTGAGTGCAGGACTTTAATTTTTAAGAGCTGGGGTGGGCAGAGCAGCCATGAGGGGCTGGGACAGTGGGCAGTGGTTGGGAGGCGCTTAGGGGGGCTGGGGGAGCAGGCAGGGGATGGGGTCTGGCGAGGGTCCCCCCATGGTCCCCTCCTCCCTCCTCCAGCCCCCACCCCCGCCCTCTACTTACCAGCAGGAAATCTGGGTCCAGCTCCCTGCAGTGGCGAACGGGCACTGCCTGAATCTCCAAAGCTCTCAGGATATTTTCCAAATCTATTTGGAAATCTTCTAATCGATTCAGACCTTTTTACTGGTTTTCTGATTTGATTCGGATTCAGAGATTTGACAGCCAAATTGGGCCGAATGTCCTCCGAATCAAATCAGCACCCGAAGCTTTGCACAGCCCTAAAAATCTACATTTTTCCACAGGAATTGGAAAACCCAGATCCCTGCTCATAACACGCAAAATCTAACATGCAGACGAGGCAAAATCTAACTTCATCAAAGTAAATCAAATTTTGAAGTGTCATGTGTGTTGCCTTCTTTTGCCCCCATACAGGCACAGAACATCTCAACCAAGGGCAAAGACCAATAGGGGGACAGCCATATCTTGAGGAAAAAGGAATCCTCTTTCACAAATCTGAGTCGGTGCCACACTCATCAGGCTCACTTACTTTTGTTTTCATTAGTTCCATTTAGCTTAAAGCACAGTTTTCAAACGTTGGCCAAGCACTGAGGTGCTACCTTCAGCTAATCAAAGGAAGTTCTCTCTCTTTTGCTTTACCTACACAAAGCAACAAGCCCTTAGTGTTTAATTACTGGATTAGAAAACAATCAACTCTCACCCAACCAGACTGGCTGAAGAAGCTTTGAGGGGTATGTTCTCCCTCATCCCACAGGCATAGCTTCTCTTGATGCCAAGTAGAGAACATGGTCCTCCACTCATTTTCAAATCCACATAATACAATGCAAGGAATTATATTTAATGTAGCATTTGTCCCAGTTAAAAGAACATGGTTGCGATCAGATTCTACAGGGTTAAGCATGTAACATGCACTCACACTTCACATCTTAGGAACAGGATGGGATGGGTCAGTAGGGCCCTGGGCACATGTTACATTTAAGATGTGATTAACCTGTTAATTGTACCTTAAAGTGTAACCCAGCCACATGTTCAAGTCGATTTATAGTGTTATAACACAGCAAAGCAGCCACAAAGTTATTTTACACAGAATGTGTAACATCTTTGTGTGCATTATATCACACCTTAAGTTAAACATGTTGAACAAGCAGGTGTGGGGCTGACCCATGCCAGATCCTGATGCTTAGCTGAATGCTGGGACCTAGCATGGGGCAGCCCCTGGGTCTGGGGCACAGCCTATCTATTCAGGCTAGAAGCAGAACTAGGTTTAGACCCCGTCACTCCCCCACAATGCTTAGAGGCAGGGGAAAAGAGGAGGTGCCATGAACCCAAGATCAAGGAGCATCTCTCTGATCTTGGGGTCACTGTGCACTAGATCTTCACACACAGATTTTCAAGGTCCTAACAGGCTGGTACCTCAGGACCAGAGAATCTCTCCCTGAGCCCAGGGTCTCCATGCACAAGGCACGTCAAAAAGCTGCACATGCAGCCTAGCTGCACAAGTGGTTTTCAAAGGTTCCCAGGTGCTGGAACCTTTAAATTTAAGTCCAGTTTCCTACTATGCATATATAACCACATCATATAATCCCCATGACATGCAAGCTGCATCATAAACCTAGGACATTTTTTGCATTCATTCTACTTCCTTTGGAAGGCCATTACCAAAGCAAATACCTGTGAGAGTTAGAAACTTTCTTTTAATTTCAGCCAGTCCATGCCCATTTGTTCTTGCCTAACTTGCCTAAGCACAAAGATGGAAGACAACATAGGGAAAAAAAATCCCAAAGGGAAGAAGACAGCTACTGGATCTATTTAGTGGTTCATTTTGTTAATGCTGGCTGCATCAAAAGTTAAAAATCCCCATGATGCAATGAATTTTACAATGTTGTCTTATAAAGGGAAATGTTTCATGAATGTTGCAAAAAACAAAGGGTGAAAACGTGAAACCATGAAGTCACTGTCAATATTCACATTGACTGCAGTATGGCTGAGATTTCACCTACAGTGCAGAAAAGGATGTGGCATAGGATCACAGGACTGGGAAAGGACTAGCAGTCCTCCATCATAGTTGAGGAATGGAATCACAGACAGTTATAACAGACATTTAGTCCAAAACAGTCCAAAGGAACATCTATCGGGGCATTCTGCTGCACAGCCACAAAACATCCTTACTATCCCATGGGTGGTACAAAAAAACTAGAGCCTCAAAAGCCACAGTGTGCTAAAGAAAGAAAACAAAAGAGACAAGGGCCCTGCCAGGTAAATTTGCTAGGTAAAATATGCTCAGGTGATGCTACAAGAAAGATGCTCTCCACATGGGCTCCAGCAAGGTAGAGAGAGAGAGAGAGAGAGAGAAAGAGAGAGTGGGTGCATGCACAATGTGGGAGCTGCTTGGCAAGCAGGGCTTGAGGGGGCAGGGTCTCTGCATTGGGAGTGAGGGGCACCAGCAGGGTTGGGGGGCAGGGCAGGGGGCTGCAGGTCAGGAGTGAGGGGCATGAGGGACAAGACGGATAGACCAAACCCTGCCAGGGTTTGGGAGTGCAGGGTACTGGCAATGCCTAAGAGCTATGGGTCAGGAGTGAGGGGCACCAGCAAGGGGTGGGGGGCAGGGTATTGCTGTTTGGGAGTGAGGGTCACTGGCAGGGCTGGGGACAGTGGGTCCGGAGTGAGAGGCAGAAGCAGGGCTGAGGGGGTGTTGCTTGTCAGTGAGGGGCAACAGAATGGGCAGGGCACCGGCATGTCACCACCTCCATCATATTCCCCCTGCTCCCCCGTGACAGGCGTCCTCTTTTTTGAACCTGGAAATATAGTAACCTGCGGCAAAGTCCTTCCTGACCTCAAATCTGGTAATCAGTTTAACACAAAGCGTATGAACCAGAATGACCAGCCAGGCATCTGAAACATTTCTCAGTACCATGAGGAAAAAAATATCTCACCGCCAACTTCTCATCTCTAGCTGAGAGATCAGCAACATTTTGTACACCTTCAGCTTCACAATTCAACATTTGCAATTCAAGCAGTTAATAATAACTCAAGTCCTAATTCTACTCCTCTGGAACCTGATGGCCAAAATTCAAATGAGAGCAGAGGACAGTGGGAGTAGGCTGGGGCCACAACGCATGGTAACTCCAGCTTTTTACAGTGTAAAAAGCAAACCCAGTTCTTTACTAATGGAGAGAATATTTCTGTGTGCCTGGTGCAGAGCTAATAGGGAGACAAGCTTCTTACCAGAAAAAGAGAACGCAGTAATCTCTCTCATGTGTGGGGCGGCAGCAGGCGGGCGGTAAGCAATCTTGCCCTGGTTAATATCTGCCTGTGTGAAATACTTGATGGGGGAGAGAGGCCTGTCTCTGTGTTCCACCACACCTACAGAGGCAGAGAGCTGAATGTTAACAAGAGAAATCAATTTTATTTTTAACACCAAAGGCTCAAGGCCATGACACTTCCCCTTTCCTCCCCTTGTACTGCTTTTTATTTCTTTCCTGCGCTTTCTCCTTTTACTATATCTTTCCTCATGTTATCCAGAATGGGCCACCTGGCGATAGTCCATCTGACTATAATTGCACCCAAGACAGATCTTCTGGACCAACATAGGACATCAGAAATTAAACAGACTCCTAATTTAGTCAACTCCACAGATGCTTATAGTTAGAGAGATGGAAGGGGCAAAGCCATTGTGTGCAATGTGCAATAAATTTCAGACATGGATATTATAGAATATCAGCCGGGCACTGCTCAGTTCTTTGCAAGCTTAGGAAAAGAGGCAGAGAAACAGACTATCTGAAAGGATGTGAAGGGGGACAGACAGCTGAAGATGGCAGACAGATCTACAGAAAGATACTTGAGATAAAGTTATAGAGGTCAGAAGAAATGGCAATTAAAGCACATGTGGCACTTTTTAGCCCCAGCCCTACCTAAGACTTGGTAAAAAAATTAAAATAAATAAAAAAATAAAAACTTGAACAATGACATCTCTTGCCTTGATTTGGTGACACAGGTACAGTCACATTGAAGACAATTTTCTCACTTGGACTCTCCGGGTCTACAAAGGAGAGGTGATGTGGCTCAATCACTGTCACACGATCCTCCAGTGCCTAAATAGACATATTAGACAATTGACAGAAAAGTCAAAGATGCTTGGAGAAATGCATCATATGAATTATGAGTGTTTTCCTGCATAGGAGCTGATTCTTCTGACACAAGAGTCTCCAAATACTTGATCTTTAAAATTTCTGATATTTGAAGCTCACATATTTAGTTTTCTGACAATGATGTTCTTTGGCTAAGTCACATAACTGCTTAGGGCCTCCTGTCCAAAAGGAGTACTATTCACCTGAGTTTGAAGGGATGCCCTGGGCATAGGTGACTGGTAGGGGAGGCATGGGGGGGGCACATGCTGTCCCTGCTGCCGCCACTGCCAGCAACTATGGATGCTCGCCAGCTCCACCCCCACTGCTGATGGCATCTGCATATGCTCACCAGCTCCGCCCCTGCCACCACCACTGCCGGCTGCGGGAGCTCGCCAGCTCCACCCCTGCCATTGACGCTGCCAGCAGTGTCTACAAGAGCTCGCCAGCTATGCCCCCGCCGCTGACACCACCGTTGGCTTCTGCACCAGTCACCCATGGCCCTGGGAACCATCAGCAAGTGAATTCTCTTGTGTAAAGGACTTGTGCACCGCTTCTACCACGGAACATCCAGTATTAATGATCATCCTCATTAACAGGAGAGAGCAATGTGTATTTCACCACTGACAATAACTCTTCCTTTGCTTAGAGAACTGGTAAGACTCAGACAGGGGCTAACCTGGGACCCATGCAGGAAGGTAAGAAGGAAGCTATCCTGACCTTATATCCGGGCATGCAGAAGTCACCAGCTGTTACTTTCCCTGCTGATGTGCAGGGGCAGAACAAGCTTCTTACCCTGTCCCCATCCCAACATGCCAGCCAGCACAACAGGCCTCACACAAATTGCTCCTGACATAGGACAGCAGTAGGTTACTAATCACCATGGGAGGAAAGGAGAATTGGGAAGGGAGCAGCTAGGGGTGCAGGGCCCCAGAACCCTCCTGCACCGATCTCCTCGACAGCTGGCAGGTTTCGTGGCTTTCACCCCACTGCGCCTTAACACAGTGTCACCCATGGCATGAGTTTTGCTTGTCTGCAGCTTGAGGTGCAGTTCCCCCCAAACCCCTGCACCAATCTTCTTGAAACTTGGCAGGCTTTGTGGCCTCAGCAAGAGCTACCACCCCTGCAGTTTTGCTCCCCCTGTAGTGTAACACACAGACGTGACATGAGTTTTGCTTTAAAAAATTTGGGGTACAGTTCCCACAAAACCCCTACACCAATCTTCTTCAAACGTGGTAGGCTTCATGGTCTTAGCAGCAGCTACCATCCCTGCAAGTTTCATCCAAATCAAATAAATAACAACAAAGTTATAGGTATTTCATTTTTTCCCCATTATACCCTATAGCCGGATCTCCGAGCCGGCTCCAAAGCTTTGGAGCCACTTCAGCCAAATCAAGGCGGAAATCCGGTCCAGAGCTCCAGAACTGATCGCGGCCATTCGAAGCGGCCAGATCCAAAGCTGGATCGGATCACTGCCGACTTGCACAGGCCTAATGTTTGGGTCGGAAGGGCCCTCAGCAGATCGTCGAGTCTGACCCCCTGCCTGGGCAGGAAAGAGCACTGGGGTCAGATGACCCCAGCCAGGTGCATATCTAGCTTCTTCTTAAAGACCCCCAAGGTAGGGGACAGCACCACCTCCCTTGGAAGACCATTCCAGATTCTGGCAGCCCAAGCTGCCAGGTGAGGCCAAAGGCAGGGAGCACACTGGGACCTGGTGCTGGAGCCCTGATGGGCCCTCCCCCACTGAGCCTTGACAAAGAATCCAGCAGCCTGCCCATGCTAGAATAGATGTGGCAGGCCTCGCCAGGGTCCATCTGACCTAGGACCTGGTCTAGCTGCTGCAGGAAGAGCATGGGCCTACAGGCAATTCCGGACCACTCCTTGTGGTCCCTGTCTTGGACCCACTGCACCTGCAGGGCCTTGACCTTTAGGTGGCAGCACTGGCCAGAGCGCTGGTGGCCGTGCTCCTGCATGCACTCTGCCAGGGTTGTGTATATATGCACATTGGCCCTGGTGACCTGGCCAAACTGTTGCTAGACCTCCATGTTGCCCCAGATTGTGATAAGGTCCGCAGTCTCCTGCTCACTCCAGTTTGGCCCCCAGTCTGCTGTCTCCATCACTGGGGAAGCTGACATGGCACCTGCTGCCAGGATCCTCAGGAGGTCAGGCCAGGGCTCTGGCTATCAACATCGACTGGCATGTGCCTGCTGGCATGGGACATGGTGCCCAGGAGGCAGATTCTGCCCATCTGGAGTCCTGGGGGGCAGAGCCAGGGTTTGTGGGGCTGCAGTGCCCAACACATGCCCACATCAATGAGGCCCAGAGCCCACAGGGCAGGCAGCTGCTGGCAAAGGCTCTGGGGGGCAGAGCCAGGCTCTGCAGGGCTGCAGTGCCCAGCACATGCCCACACCAATGCAGCACAGTGCCCAGGGGGTAGACGGCAGCTGGCAGAGGCCCTGGGGGTCAGGCCAGGGATCTGGAGGCCAGCTTGGGACAGCCAATGAGATGTCCCTGCCACGTGGCTCTGCACCAAGGAAGAGGCTGGCCCCCTGCTGGTGCAGCTGACTGGATGCAATTTGTGCCCAATGTCAGCACCTACACATGTGCTGCTGCACATTAGTTAATGTGCCGTTTTTCTAGCACCTGTACGTATTGGTACTAACAAACAACACATTAGACTAATCTAATGTGCAGTAATGGCCATGCACATGTCGATTGTGGTGTTTTACTGTGCATTAGATTAGACTGCAGAAAAATAAATGTGCCTGAAAACAATAAAAAGTGTCATTTTTTCATAACTGCTTGGTAGACTCAAGGCATGCCTTAATTCTCATAATATTTTCTTCTGTCCCCCTATTCCTTCTCATCTTACATTTAGTTACTGTCAACTGCCTGAGAAGGTACAGGTTCACATCACCAATCAGATCATTCTTGGGAGCATGTAACTAAATGCATGACTGAAAAAGGAAACATAACCCAGATTCTTTGCAGGGTTAGGTTTCTTAACACCCTGCAAAGAAGTTTTGCAAGCCAGCTGAGTATATATTTATAGCTAAATCAGAGAGCTACAAGGTGCTCCAGCTATTTGCCACAACTTTTATTTCAAAAGGATACTGCTTCTCCAAGCAGCTGCCTAGAATTAAGGCTATGCTTCAGCTGGGCAAAGAAGCTGTGTCCTTTGAAGCAAAAGCCACAGCAAACAGCTGAGCTGAATGCCTTTATTTCAATAACCCACCTCAAACTACACAGGTTGTGAACCATTCAAATGGGGATGACCAAGGTTCTACTGTCTTCACCCAGATCAAACATCAAGGTTTCAAAGAACCTTCTTTCACCTTTCTTAGGAAGGACACTCAAAGTGGACTCTTGCTCTAGAAAGACTTAGCACTGAGTTCTTTTTTCAGCAAAGAAGTCCATCTAATTCTAAAGGACCACAGGCATTTGAAAATGGATTAGCAATCACATCGACGTAAGATGTGCCTTCTTTTTTTATGATGAAGAGATTTAACATTATAGTCCTCTTTGTAGTTGTCTCCAAGGCATATTTGTCTCTCAAAGAGGCAGCACTTGCTGGTTGTGATGAACCCTCTCAGTAAAGCATAATATTTTATGACACTATTGAATTTTGTGGTGCGTAATTAGCTATAAAATGCAGCAATGGATGAAGCAATCTGACAACTCTCCCATGAATTTTGTTTAAAAAAAAAAAATCTAAGCAAAAAAATGCATGACCATATATTTCTACAGCTAACAGCCTGAGCAAGTTTTATTATCACCTGCAGAAGTCTACCAATATTTTAAACCCTGACAAGAACCCTGTGCCATGATGAGTTTAGTAATCCTAGGATCACTGCTCCCTCTGTCCCTTCAACCAATTCCTGGCCGTTATACTCAAGGTTACACCCTGGCTCCATTTTTTTCTAACTCCAGGGCTTGGAATGACTTCTTTAACCCAACGCAGCACCTTACCTCCCTCAGATCCTTTCCAGAAACACAATGCTTCTGAGAGGTCCATTTCTGCTGACTTTCCTCCATACAATATCATTAACCATCCCAGGATCATGTCTTCTCTTCCCCAAAATGAACCAGCAAGAAAAAGTATTCCCTACCCCACCCTGTTTTAAGAGAACTAAAAGGAATGTCCAGTGGTTAAGGCGCTAGCTTGGTTCTGGGAAGACCTAGGTGCAGTTTCCTGTTTCACTACATATATCCTGCATGCATCTGTCCAATCACAGATCTTTGGAGGTATTTAGGCACCAAAGGTATGCAGTGAGATTTTTCAAAAGCCCCTAGTGGCTAGCTTTGACACATTCAATTGCAATGGGGTATAAGTGCCTCATCATTTCTGAAAATCCCAACAGGCACCTTTCTCTGTTTGAGGCACCTGACCACATGTAAGAATCTAACCCTTTGCCAGTGACTGCAGACTACAGTCTCCTTGTCCCAGAGTTGGCACTGAAGCTGGTTGGAAAGAAGTCTGAGTCTGGCTTTGTTAATCTGAGTGTCTATAGTTTTGGGGCTGCATAGTAATTGAAGGAATCCCTGCTCCAGGTCTTTACAGCATGCATCCCAGTTGGTGGGATCAGAGCAGATACATTTGTAATACAGGCAGTCCTCGATTTACAACGTTCTGAGTTACAATGGTTTGCACTTACAACATTTATAAATTGACAACCTGTTTCAACTTTATGATGTCAGTTTCGACTTTACAATGCTTGGTCCGATGCAATGCCACACCAGCGAACAAGTTCGCTGTGTGGCTCATCTCCCTGAAAAACGTCTGTCCAAACTTCCTTAAGAAAGCAAACAAGACTCCAGAAAAACCTGCAGCCAAGACTCCTGAGAAGACTCCAGCCAAGAACCCTTCAAAAAGTCCAGCAAAGTCACCTCAAAGAAGTCCTTCCAAATCAATATGATTGCTATTTACAATATAAATACAGTAATGTAGTTATATTACTCATCTATAATTGATCAAGTACAAAATTTGGGGATATTTTTAGTGAAAATAGGGTATCGGGCCTTGGTTCAGGAAGTAATCCCCCATTTATAACATTGTTTCTCATGAGAAAATTGGTTCCGAGTTGCAACGTTTTGACTTAAGACGTGGTTTTTAGGAACCAATTGTGTCTTAAGTCTGAGAACTGCCTGTATAGAGCATGGCTGCAGACAATGGATCCAGTGGTATACTTAGGATGAAGGCTGGTGGTGTGAAAGTAGCTGTAGCAATTGCTTGGTTTCTGATACAACATGGTGATGATGTGGTCATTGCAAACTTTCATTCTAGTGTCTAAGAAATGAATTTGTTGGATGGAGTATTAGTTGGTTCAATAGAGGGTTGGAAATTATTAAAATCCTGGTGACATTTCTCTAGCTATTTGTTCTCATACGTCCATACAATGAAGATATCATTGATGTACCCTAAATTAGGGGGATGAGAGGACAGCTAGGAAGGAAACCGACTCCAAGTTCTGTCATAAATATGATGGCATAATGGAAGGCCATATGCATGACCATGGAAATGCCATTCGTGTTAACTGGTAGATTGCCCTTGGAGGCCAATTTCTTTAAGAGATGTGTGGTGTTTTTCAAATACCTGGCAAGTCTAGTGACATATGGGAATAGGACAGGATCAACAAGGCCAGAAACTCCATCCATGATGGTGCCAATGCGAGAGATAATAGGGCAACCTGGGTTGCCAGGTTTGTGGATCTTGGGTAATAAGTAAAAGTTGCCTGCCCTGAGATACTGGAATCTCAAAGCAGTACTCCTCTCCTGTGCTTCCCAAGGTAGATCCTGTATGAATTTATCCAGTTCCATCTGGTATTGTGCTATGGGGTCCTCTGTCAGGAGTTTGTGAAACTGTTGTAAAGTCTCTCAGCTTCCTGTACATATGCTGGTTTGTCTATGACAAGAGTGGCACCCCTGCCTTATTACCATGTTGCATGATAATATCCAAGTTGTTTTTAAGGCCAAGCATGGTTCTCTGTCCCACATAACTGGGGTTGTAATATAAATGTTGATTTTTTGCAATCTCTGAGTGGGCATCAAGGCAAAAACAGTCTATGTACTAAGTCCAGAGTGGGGATGCAGCCCTTGAGTGGAGTCCAGGAATGGTCCTTCTTCTTGTTCTGCATATGTATCTGATCTTAGGTTGATCTTTACATGGCGCCTTGTCGTGGAAATGTTTTCTCAGTCTTAGGCAGCAGAAAAAAGCCTCAAGGTCTCCATACAGCTGCACTGTTTTGAACTGTGTAGTACAGCAGCATGACAGACCACAAGATAGTATAGACACCTCAGCCAGACAGAGAATGCAGCTGGATAGCTTGATGACATTACTGTGGATTGTAGGTTTGTTGCTGGGACATGCAAATTTGGAAAGTTTTGCTTCCATCTCCTTTTTTAAGGAGTGAAGTCATTTGTGGCCGGACGCAGAGATTTCCTCCTCGTAAGTGTTCTGTCCAGATGGTTCCCTATTCTGGTTGTTAATTCTGCAAGCCTGATGTTGAGCTGTGCCTGTTTACTGCAGAGAACACTAATAAGGTAGTTTCTCAGTTTCACTGAGAGCACCATTCAATACTTGGACAGTTCATTCATGCTGAGCTCCACTGTGCTGCAGCTTGACTGTTACCAGTACCTGAGCTAGTTTCATACTTGGACAGTTCATCCCAGCTGAGCTCTATCCTCCTGCAGCTTCACTGCTACTAGTACCTGAGCTAGATTAAAGCCAGGTCAGGAGCCAATAAGGGCCATTGTATAGGGCAGTGGTACTCAACCTTCTTCTCCTGTGAGCTGGATGAATGGTGTGAGGCACAGAACTGGAGCACCAGCCAGGTCCTGCATGCTAAATCTGGCTGCATACACAGGCCTGATACCACATGATCTCATGCGCTGGCCCAAACCCATGCACTTGGATCTGGCCATGAACTAATGTGATCTAGAATGTAGGGCAATATCGCCTGGTTCACAGGGCTCCCCACTGGTCTGGAAATTTTGCAGAAGTTTTTCAGACCTGTGGGCAGACCCACAGGCACGGTAACATGGCCTTGTTGACCAGATGTTGAGAACCACTGGGTACAGAGATTTAGGTGACTCAAAATGGAGGGCAGGCATACCTGGGGCTTCTCAATTGCACTTCTCTACCTCTCAGGTATGTTGTGAAACACTCCAACACTGTGTTAATGAGGACCACATCAGTAATCAAAGCAGACAGATCTTGAGTGATTTCTCAGTGAGCTTTTGTCTGGCTGTAAGCTTCAAAAGGCAGGGAAACATTTTTCTCTGTGTCCGTTATAGTCTCAAGCAATGTTGGCATTCCACACACTTAACAGAAAGTAGTATCTAATTACATCTAGTGTATTATATTTACACTTCCAGCCCTGGTTCTTGAAGCTATGTATCACCTGGCCCTTGTCTACTCTCTTATTTTGTCTTCATTTATATGTCTTCTGGCTCCTGCACTTCACCAGTCCTAATACCTGCAGTGCCTCTTTTTACACCCACCCTACAACTTTAGAACTCCTACCCTAAAGATTTCCACCTAGACCATCTTCAAGTCCCTCCTAATGGTCGTGTATTACACATACAACAGCTCACTATATGGCACTTGCCCCTAATTCAGTTCCTACCAACCCAGAAGGTGTCTTTCCCTAAAATACTGTAAGTTCCTGACATCAGGCTGATGAATTAGAACTTTGTGAGAAGGGCCAGGCATGCTTTTATCAGTAAGGATTGCAGTGGAATTACTGGCAAGATCTATTCATTACCATCTACCTAACCCAAGGCCTTTTACTTCCCTCAGTTGTAATGGACTCAATTAGACAAGTTTTAAGTCTGCTTTGTTTGTTTGTTTTTAAGAAACTTTGGAACCCTTTACAAAGATCTAGCTTTCTTTCTTTTATTGTATAAGGACCTCTACAATATATGCTTTTATCTCAACCACTGCTATTAATATTCATTTTGCAACTTATTTTGGTATGGTAAAATTTTCATCTCTGGCCTGTCTGCGACTCACTTTTTTCTACCACTGTAGAGCAAATACAGTGGGGGAACACACCTTTCATTTCCCGTTGAACTCAGTACAATACACAGACTGAACAACATTAAGAAAAAATAATCAGCATTAATTGCTTTCAATGTATTCCCATGGTAAGAGGAAAAGTGCAATGACAATGGCTTTCGTTTAGACTTACTGTCATATGCAGAGAGGACCCAAGGGAAAGCTGCAGTGTCTTGGGTGTGTGTGGGAGAACAGCAATGTTGAACATGTGGGTTTCCAAATGGGTTTGTGGAGCAGTAGCACTGGATACCTGTGAATGCCAGAACACCAAAATGAAATCCTAATAATGATTCCTTCAACAGTGAAGGAGTTTCAAAAACACAACTGGATTTTTAGACTTTCTTCATAACCCTTGTTTTGGCTTTGGGAGGACAAAGATAGAGGGCCAATTCAGAAAACCTATGCTGGCATTATAACTAAGAAGGTAACTGCTGAAGACCACAATAATTTTGAAGGCTGATTGCTCCATGATTCAAATATACTCCTAAAATAGGTGTACTTTCAAAGTCAGATTGTGCTGCTCTGTGCCACAAGTTACTCCTAGGTTTAAAGCTGCAAGAGAAGCCTGTTAGCTTTACAATGCCCATGATGCAATCCCAACACCAAGTGAAGTTAAGTTGTGTATAACTCAACACAGTCCATTTACTCTTGTTGTTTTGTTGAACAGTGCATGGATCCAGAACAATTTTACATTTACCAAAGTTAAATAAAATTAAAACATAATATAAAAATGATGCTATAAATGTTTATAACAATTCTGAAATGAAGGAAGGAAGAAGCATCAACTCAAATTCCTTGCAGGCTCAGCACCCAAGAAAAGGCACTCAGCGCAAGGATAAGACTACAAGGCCCTTATTAAGCTGGGCACAGATTCATAGGCTTATCCTTAAGCATGTTCTTAAATCCACCGGTAACTTCAACAGAACATAAGCACTTGACTTAAGCACATACTCAAAGTTAAGAACATGAATAAATATGCTTTGCTGCATTAAGGCCCAAAACAGTTAAAAATGAAATTATCCTTATTTGTTAGGTCTGTTTTAAGTCAAGGTCACTTGAACTAACATTGCCAAAGTGCTGATTAAAATAAAATGTCAGCCTTTCCCAAGAATCACGGGTCTGAATTCAGGAAGATGCATTATGATCTCCTGATGAGATATAACTAATTGTGGCTCCTTTTCTCAGTATGGCTCTCTCTACAATTATTGCCATTGCGCCAAGATACTAAAAACAAACATCTAACTCATGCAAAATGCATATACTCTAATAGCAACATAGCAATTAAATTAAAGATTAGCTTGCTCAACATCAGATGCTCACAACTTCCTCATTATCACTTATGTTAATTACTTCAGAAATTACCTTAATTGCCTCTCTAGTGCTACAGTAATAGCTTTTAAGTTGTAAACCAAATGTAACAAATATTGTATGCAAGTGCTCATATTGGCTTAGCATTACAGAAGACTGTTAAACTTCCCCAGCAAACAGCTAGAACTTGGCTGAGGGATTTTATGGTGATTATGCCTGCTGGAGAAGGAGTTTATTTTATTATTACATCTGCTGGGGAATATTTGTGTCTTTCTGTCTATTTGCACATTCATTGTTGGAGGGAGAAGATCAGTCTATTGTGAAAATTAAATTATTACTTAACGCGCCATAGAGAGTGCAGAATAGACACTTGACTCTGGTGTCCGCAAATGTAACTCATTTCTCATAGTCACTCCACTCAGCTTAGCTGCTATAAACCTAGGGAAGATATTTCCTATACAGCAAAGTGGCTGAATCTCTCTCCTATAAATGTCAAACAAAACTGAACCTGAACTCCTGAGTCATGACCAAAGCCCCCATAATAGCAGCAGTAAATCTCCATGCAATCCCTTTCATTGGGGGAAGAATCAGCCACATACATAAATATACAGCAGGGAAGGGCTTAGGCAAATGAAAAGTCTACAACAGTGGTCACCAACCAGTGGATCTCGATCCACCAGTAGATCTCGGAGCCTCTTGGAGTCGATCGAGGCTAGGGTGGGAGGGCTGAGTGCCCGTGTGCATGCACATACACGCTCCAACCCACCAGGTCCATCTGGGGGAGGAAAGGGGCAGGGACTAGATTGAGGCCCTTGCAGTGAGGGACAGCATTGCAGAGGCAGGAGCAGGGGTAAGTTGAGTGCGGCCCCAGCTGGGTGGGACTTACCTGCTGGGGAGGCGTGCCCCCAAATAATTTTTTCTCCCTCTGCCTCCATCTGCCTGCCCCCCCCCCCACCCCCAATTCCCTCCCCACAGACTTACCTGCTTGGGGAGTGGGGGTGGGGGGGTGTTGGGGTGGTGCACAGTAGATCTTGGGTTGTTTTTAAATGCCAAAGGTGATCACCTACTTAAAAAGGTTGGAGACCACTGACCTACAAGGATCTCAAGATCTCCATGTGTCATGCCTCACACAATTCAGACATGGCCAGGGCATCCACTGCAAAAAAACAAGGTCAACCATGTCTTTTGCCCCCAGGTTTGCCCCTGGTACCAGGTATCTCTGGGATTTCTCATTCTTGAAAAAAATTTCCCCCATGCATGGAAAGAGTAGAGGATTTGCAGAAAAGCTCAGAGGACATGAAGCCATTATCTTTTCCAATGGCATAGATAGAATTTAAAGAGGGCAGGGATATACCATATGTCAGCAGCTCCACAGTGATGGTCAGTGTGTCTGTTCTCCTCCCATGGTAATTGAATATAAAGGAGGAGCAGTTTACTCCTCAACAAAACAGAATTAAGTCACCTTACTCTAATTCTTATTTACCACCAGCCCAAAGCAGTCACAAGGGTTGATACCATGTAGAAGCTCACATGAAGTAAATCCTCATCCCTTTTAACTCTGTAATTTTGTTAATTTGTCCACACCCTTTGTGACAGTTTCTAAGGGCAGTAGGGGAAATATGCCTCTTGTTCCTCCAATCCATTCCCTCCCAAACCCACTCTTCATGCTTCCTCCACTCAAACCAGTCAGCCTCAGGGCTCTCCTGCACACCAACCCTGAATGCAGAAAGACTACATCATCATCCTTCCAGAAATAGAGGGGTCATCCTTAGAGACAGCTGAACATTTCATTTCAAAGCTCTGGAGGAAGGAGTTACAATCCTGACACCTATCAAGGGTCAATCTCTGGAAACACCAGTCCTAGCTACATCTCATACAGTCAATGAGTCTGATCGTTCTGTTTGTGACCGTCTTAATGCAGGGCCTACACATGCAGACACGGTGCGCCTGTTTGCTCTGAAAAGAGATAATGTCTTGCATGCCCTTCTGTTCTGCTTAGATACATTATCAGAGGTGGGCAGTTATTTGGGCTGGAGGGCTGCTTAATGAGTTTTGTTAAGCTGTTGAAGGCCGCATATGTACATGTAGACATGTACACACATGCACGCAAACACAAAGGCATGCGCAGATACACCTGCATGCAGACATGAGCTCCGTGCATCTCTGCCTGCACCCCATCACCCTGTGTCCTTGGCATGAAGCCACATTAGGCAGAAGGCGCATCAGTTGCTCTATCCATGCCAACATGGCCCAAAGCAATACGTGGAAACAGTGGGCCACTGGCCTGGCTCAGATGCATGCCAGGGACTTAGGCTGGGAAAGGGGGTTCAGGGAGAAGTGGGGGAACACAGCACGGCACTAGCCTGGCCTGGCCTGGCCACATGCTGAGGACTTCGGGCAGGGCAGGGGGTGCAGGGAGAAGGGGGCCAAGAGCCACAGGTTATCTGGGCCCAGCCAGGCTGGTACCTCACAGTGCTCCCTCCTTCACCCTGCACCCCATCCCTTGCCCTGAGTCCTCAGGACACAGTCAGGCTGGGCCAGTGCCACGCTGTATTTCCACACGCTGCTTTGAGCCATGTGAGCACAGGTAGAGCAGTAGACACAGCTCCTGCCCAACCCAGCTGTGTGCCAGAGACTTGGGGGTCAGGCAAGAGTGGTGCCAGTGTTGAGCAGGAGCTGCATCTATGTGGCATGGCCCAAAGCAGCATAAAGGAACATATAGCGCAACCCTGCATTAACAGTGCCCGCGTCCCTACTAGGCTCCAGCCTGACCCAGCAGGGCCCTGAGAACCCGCAGCTCCTGGCCCTCTTCCCCTTGCACCCACTTCTCTGCTGAGGGGGAGAACCCTACCTGAGCTTTGACGCACTAGGGGCCAGGCTTGGTCTGTGAATGACCACGGGGTCAGAACTGCACACAGACAGCCTCTCTGGGCAGAAGTCTGTCCAGGAGCTCAGTGCCCCCTGCCTTGGAGTGTACACTGGGGTCTGGGGGTGCAGCAGGCCAGGGAGAAGAGTGGCTGCCTGGCCACTGGAATTGTGGCTACTGCTGCAGCCAGCTATGGCGTGGGAAAAGTAGAAAGGCAAGAGGCGCAAAAAACCAGGTGAGCTGCAGGCCAGATACAATCCTCCTTCAGAGGAGCAGCTGCGGAACCAGACAGAATTATTTGGTGGGCCAGATCTGGCCTGTGGGCCATATTTTGCCCACCCCTGGGATAGATTATTGCAAACTAACTTTTCCTTTTGAGTGGTTCCATTTAAACATGTAGACAAACTGTTTGGAGTTGACAATCCCATTGCAAGTCACCTGAAAGGCAGCATTCTTTAAATATGCAATGTAGCCTATGATTTGACAAATGAGGTCAGCATCCCCATTCGAAGGTCATTCTAATAGAGCAGTCCCCAGATGAATGGCTCTTCTACACTAGACAGCACAATGGTGCAAATCCTGAAGTCCTTATTCTGTCAAACTCTCTTTGGCATAAATGGGAGTTTTCCCTGTGAAATATGATTTCTGGGGACCGATTAAAACTTTGCATCCCAGACACAAGTATCATGCATGATAGATAATGGCTAGGGCACAGCAGAGAAAGGAAATTACAGAGGAAAACAAAAGCTGCTTCATGACAGCTGGCTTAATTATGATTCTCAACAGACTATACCTGGAAATGGAAGGAATCACTTTCTACTTGAGATCCAGAGTGCTTGTACCACACAATGCCTTCATTGATGTCCCGCTGAGTGAAGGACATAGTTGGTGTGGCTGCTCTTCCATCTGGTAAGCGCTGCCATGATTCAGCTGGGCCATCTGCTGGCATGGGTAACAGAAGGACCACTTCACCTGTGAAAGCAGAAATGTACAGTGAGAGCATGCATACAAGGAAAGAAGGTATCAGAACGGCCTTTGCTTTTTATTAGATGACACATAATAGCCTCATTATTTGTAAGATTTGTCAAGTAAGTCAAATAAAGGATTATAAGGATTATACCACAAAAACAATGCCACATCCTTAAAAATGAAATGTTATTACTTTTTTGGTATGGAGTTATATATAATGAGTGAAAAAAATTAAATGATATCCTTTTATATTTTGTATTCATGCATATAAATTTAGCCTTCATGTATAGCAGGCTCCCTGAATAACTGTAGAAGAACTGAATAAGCTGTATTTTATTGTACATCTCATTTCTGTCTTGATCTATGAAAGTGTCCCCTTATGACTATGAATCAAAAAAACATACATTATATATTATTTTAGCTGTGCTGGCAGCATTAATCATTCCGATTTGCAAAATACTCATTTTAAGCTCTTTTAGTTCATTTCCCCAAACCACATTCAAATAATGTCTGAGTAATAAAAATCAGCAGGCTGCAATATCATGCTTCTGTTTTATCTTTTAAAATTACATTAATATTCCCTTATCAGTTAGATCCATCATTCCAATTATAAGCCCACTTCTGATACCTTTACTCATATGAAATTTAGAAATCTATTCAACAAAAGCTTTCTTAGGATTTTTTTTTAAATCACTAGGCCTATTCACACAGTAATGTACTACTCATTGTGACAATTGTCAAAATAATTTGGGGTTTAGAACCTGGTTTTAATATTCCATGAACAAAAGCCCTAATCATTAGGCTATTGGGTTGAAGGCACAAGGGCTTCCTCCAACAGTCATTAGTCTCATTTTTCCCATGACTAGCATTTCAGAGCCTTGCATGGAGTCATGTGCCCTCCCAGAAGAAACAGGAACCAAAATCTATGCAGGTGACCCAAAATGGTACCAACATGAATGTTAAGTACCTGCCTAAATGTACAACTGGATTTGGGCTAGGATTCAGGCTCTGTTTTCTGCATTTCTTTTTTTTATTACCAAGAATAATTTTTTCATATACAAACTTTGCAGATCATAGGTTCCTGCTCCTTGTTTCACACCTGATGCCATAAAGTTTGTGTTTGTTAATTAACAATTAATTGCTCTGAGAATAATTATTGGACACAAGGGATGTGTCTACATGAGATGCTACTGTGCAGTTGTTACTGTGCTTTTATTTCGCACTTGTATAAACAAGTATTAAATAAATGTGCAGTAACCTGAATTACTGCGCAGTAGCACTGGCAAACACCTTTTTTGTGACACTACTGTACAGTAGCCTAATACTACTGCACAGTGGTATCGCATCTCGGTTTTTGCCATGCAATGCTATATCTTATGTAGATATGTCCAAGAAAAGGAATATCATTTCAGATTAAGATTAGGCATCAGGAGATGAGATTATGAAGAGAAAACTCCTAATTTCATTAAACTGTGCCAAATTATTAAAAAGGAGAAGGTTCTGGCATATATAAGTGAAATGCCTCTTGTCTAGCCAGCCCTGGTTTGTAATAAATGCTTCTATGAGGGGTCAAATGAGATTAAAACAAAACAAACTATTTTAAAAACAACAGACAAAAAGTGAAGACGCTGTTGTTAATGCAACATTGTATCCTATCCAGTAAATTAAAACAGTTGCTTCATTGAGGTCATGTGATTTAAAGAGATGCTGTTTCATCCACAGGGACAAAATCTGATAAGAAAACTTTGCATTTTGTTCACATTTAGCATCCAGCCTTGTTGTGCTATACCTTTTCACATCTAGCTTCTCCGCATTTGTATCTCAGTCACAAATTCCATTATTTTCCATCCTCTTTTCCCTCAACCTGTAGGGTGCTTTTAAAAAAATCACAGTTCTGCAAAATGAAGACTGCTTGTGAATGCAGCTGCTCAGATTGGAGATTAGTGCTCCACAATGGGAATTTGAAGATAAGGATTAGAAGATTTCAAATACCAGCATTGTAGCTCAAGTCAGTGACTCCCTCTGTCATACACATACACGTGTGCACTTGCGCACGTGCACACATACACACACACACACATATGCAAAATCAAGTCCTTTTTTGGCCAAATGGAGCTTGTGCCCAATTGCTTCCCAGGATTTATTATATTCTGTGCTGCTCCTAATCTAAAATTTATCACACAATAATATTATTTGGCATGCACTGATGAGACTGTCTTTACAAGGGTATCAATCCATAACAACTTAATCAACAGGGATAATCTTGCCTTAAACTAGAGGTTGGACTAGATGACCTCTTAAAGTCCTAAGTGGGTGTGTCTACATGTTCACTAATGCACTTCAGGTAATGCACTTTAAATCTAGTTCCTCCATTATGAGGTACTAGAAAAATGCACATTAGCCTATTTTAATGAACATTAGCTAACGAGCACTTTTTTGTGATGATTTAATATGCAGTAAAAGAGGCTAATGTGCATTAAAGTGCACGTGTAGATGACCTCTCTCAGACCTATTTTTCTGTGATGCTGTAAGCACAATTCATTTTGAACCATGGGGCAATGAAGCAGAATGTGCAGATTTAACAACTGGACATTAGATCTGGAGTTGAAGCATGGCTATTATGACTATTTTATAAGCTTATGGGCCTATTTGAACTGGTCACTGGACAGATCTGGATGCTGTCCTTAGGAATGCCTGTTAGAAAATAAGACTGAGGAACTGTCTTCTCAAAATCTTTCTGACCCATGTGAAATACAATGAAATAACAACAGCCTTCATCAATCAATGCTGTGTCCCTTTCACAGCCAGTGTCATTTCTTTGTACTAAGTGACCAGGCACATTAAGATGCCTATGCTTCTGCTTGGGGATGGGAGACCCAGGAAAGAAGACCACCGCCACTACCACCACGAGATGGAAGATAAAAATCCCAGAATAAGTTTACCATATCGCGGCTGGTCCTTGATGATTGCATAGGTGATCTCAGAGTCGCTGGCACCAGGCACCTCTGCTCGCAAAATCCTGTTAGTGATCTGCAGCATTCCTCCCTCTGGGACCCACACCAAGGAGTTTGTAAGCAGTTGTGGGCCTCTGTCACTCTGCAAGTGGGGAGCAAAGTGGTAATGGGCCAGTACACTCAGATTTCTAAAGTGAGAAGGCTGAGATTAAATATTTCAAATTCACAGTGTTTAGTTCTTTGACTCTCTCAATCTCTTTCACAGAAAAAACCTCCATTCTCCTTTTGCCCACTCACTCTTCCCTTCTGCCCTCCACCACTCCTCCCCAAGAACCTTTTCTGACGCCAACCCTTTTCCCTGGCCCCTGTAATCCTAACACCCACTGATCTCAATTCCCCATCTGGCACCATTGTCTTTAGTTTCCCTCAGTTGGTCTCTTTTCTTCTCTGGTAGAAGGGAGGGCAGGGTGACAGAAACCTTAGAGACTAGTTGCATTCTTCACCCTCAGTATCCTGACGTCATCTTCATCTTCCCTTTCTTTCCCTTTGCAGTTGCTCTGCTGTTGGGTTCATCTCTATGACACTACAGATGCAAATGTCACATGAAGTGCTTCATAATGAAGCATTTCAAAGCTGTTCCTGTTTTGTTCCAACATCATTTTTGAAAAGCTGCATTGGCCAAGTACATTTGCACCTTCGCTCTTTGGTATGCTTTAAAAGCACTTAGAGTGCTTCATGTTACATCTGTGCATGTCCTATAAAAAGTCCACCTGCTCTTCACCATTTTCACTCCAAAACCTTTGTCTGGGTCTAGAATACCCACCCACATGCCTCTTATCTCTCCTTGCTTCTGAAAACCTACTCTCCCAAAGGATGCTCACAAACCGAAGCCTCTTAAAATTAAAAAAAACAACCCTAAATAATGCTCCCAACATATCTTTTAAGTCTCTAAAGCGTGCGTCATAATGGATTCTGCCTTCTGACCTAATAACTTCTTTTCCCCCTGCCATCTAAAATAAATGGAAACCTTTCCCCCAAGTAATTCCTGGTATAACTTTGCCATTCCAAAAGTCTTGTTAATACATGAATAGGCTTAGGGGGATAGTGACAAGTATTTGGAGACTCCAAACTCTGTCCTGCTTTATTTGTGACTGAAGTTTTCCAACTGGAAAATAAATATTTGGGGGGCCAAATTTCTCTGACAATTTCCTTTGTCATAGAGCCCATTTAACACCAACACAAGCTCTCACGCACCTAAAATTTGGACTGCAAATTCTAAGGCTCGGAAAGATCATTATGATCACCTAGTCTGATGTACTGCATCGCAGAGGCTAGAATTCCACCCAGTGATTCCTGCCTCAAGCTTTATCTTCTGATTGAACTAGAGCTTCTGGTCGAGAATGACATCCAGTCATGATTTTAAGATCAAGCTCAAAAAACCCACTGCACCATTTAATAAATATTCCAGTGGGTAATTGCCTTCCCTGTTAAAAATCTCTGCTTTATTCATAGTCTATACTTATCTGGCCACATCTTCCAATTGTCTTATTATATCTCCATCCACTAAATAAAAGAGCTGACTCCTATCAGAAATCTCCACATACAGGTACTTACGCATTATGATTAAGTCACTTCTTCAGCTTCTCCTTGATAAAACGAAACAAACTGAGCTTGCAAAGTCTGTCACTGTGAGACAGGTTTTCCAGACCTCACACCATTCCTGCAGCTGTTTTCAGAAGCCTTCACAATTTTTTCACTTTAGTCTTTGATGTGTGGACATCCAAAAGGAAACAGTATTACTCCAACTTCCCTACTCCAATGCAATATTTTCTTGTTTTTTACACCCACAAATTTTATCAGTCTTCTTAGACACAGCATCAGATGGGTAGCTAGTAAGGTTACTGCCTAAGACACCATAAAACCTCTCCAGTGTCACTGCTTTCTAGCATAGTCCCCCATAACTAGGGACCTACCAAATTTGTGATTTCACAGATTCTGCAAAATCCGGAAAGGCCTGCGAAATCCCACCCACTGCCAGACTTACCTGTGGAGAGCTGCTCTCCAGGCTGCCTGGCGGCCATGTGCACAAATGAACATGCACCTGGCACTCCCTGCCTGACTGCCCTCCGCCTGCTCCCCCCGCCCCTTTCAGACTGGAACTCTGCCAGCCTGCAAAGGGAAACCCATCGCTTCCCACTTTTTCTCTCCTCAAAATGAGACTATCTGAGTTTTTCTCCTCAAAATGAGATTATCCAGGTTTTACCACATTTTTCCATGGCAAACAGATAACCTGAATTCCTGATCATCATTTACATCTCCATCTAAAATCTTTAGTTTGTCATGGCTTCATATTTTCTTCCAAATCACAAATACAGATACTGAATAGCAATGGACCAAGAAGTGATCCCTATGGAAGGACACACCCCTACTGAAAAATGATGTTTTCCATTTATTTTTAGATTTATCAGTTAGCCAGTTTTTAAAGGCATTTAATATAGGATGCATACATTTTGCCTACTGTTGATATTATATTCAAATTATTATGTAATCCTAATTGTTACAGCATGTAAAACAAAGAATTCTGCTTGAACAAATGGCTGCTTTATTCTTTAGAAGAACTGAACAGAAATAAGATGGGTTACCAACAAAAGAGAATACTAACAGTACGGAAGGGAACTTTCCACTTGTCTTAACATGTCAGCAAAGTCACAACACATATAGGGCCTTTAACATCAAAGCATAGCTCTGGAGCAGGAAATGACCAGGTTGAAAAGGCCAGAGAGATTTACTACGTTTATTACAGCATGGAAGAAAAGAGAGAGAGACTAGTCATGTTTCAGAGTACTTGAAGGTGAGCAGACAAAATGCACTCTTTGATAATAAAAAATTTCAAAGTAACTGTTAATGAGAAGCAAGGTCCCAGTTCCAGTGTAACAATGGTACCAGTGGAAAAATGAATTAAGGGCCTTTCAGTTCCCACAGTGTGCCAGTCTGTCATTTTGCAATAGTATTCCCAGCTAGTTTGGATGCTGCGATCCAACCAACATGTACTCAACAAAAGACTCCTTTGCTTGCTAATCTTTTGCTTTTTTTTCTCCTTTAAGTAACCCACTATTGCTAGTTCTGACAGTTCTCCCACTCATTAAGATAACTGGAACCCTCTTGGATTTTTCTTAATTGGCATTCAGACAAGTAGTTACATTTTTACCATGCGTGAGAGAGGGAGAGAGAGAGAGAGACAGAGAGAGAGAACCCATTACTTATGAAAGTTGCATTTGGATAATCCGGGAGACTAAAAGGTTTCTTTGTTCAATCATGAAACATGTGTATCGTGGCCTACTGCAGTGCACACTGCTCTGCCAGTGCATCTCAGCCCTAACTTGGCTGACTTGCAGTGAGCAAATCAAGAGCCTATTCAAATCTGTACCTTCCTGTGGAAACGGCCAACAAAAGTGCTAAGCAGTGCCAAATTCAGTGCTGGTGGCCATGGAATTGGCAGACTTTGTACAGCAGGAATATCCATCTACTAGGAAATAAACCAAGACCACCTGCTGCCCATTCTACATGGGCCATCAAATACAAGTCAGATACAAGTAGCTTTTGGCCACATCCAAATTGGGCTGCATCCAAAGCAGCTACTCAGAAGGTAAAGGGTTCCGTGTTTCATACCAAGGGATCACCAAGGCCAATGTCTACAATATGTAACATGCAACAAGATCTCTCCTCCTTAACTGATTCAATGCTGAAAGGGGCCACAAGTTTCTAGGGAGTGGGCTTTCTTCCCCCGCTCCTCGGACCATCATTAATGACTGGGCAATCTGCAACAATATACATTTCAAATGCTTGGAGGGTGTCGGACAACAACACCCACTCAAGCAAATCATTATGACATGCTCCTGTAAAAAAGGCCAATTGTTGCGACTTCCAACAGTTCAAAAAGTTCTTGAGCAAGCACTGACAAACATGGAAGACTGAGATGTCAGCAAAGATAGGGATTAAAGAAAATGCTTTGCAGAAACCAATACACGGTGGGTCTAAATCAATAAACATCTCAACTTCAAAATACCTCAAAGAACCAGGTCACTGCTGTTTTCCGTTCTGGCAGTACTGGTGTGCTGCTTCACTGGCTGAAACATGTGATTCTTTAAGCCGCGGTAAAAAGAATCTTGGGACTACTTATTTTTCAAATCACAACTTCCTCTATAAAAATCAATAAGCAATACTTTGGGCTTGGATATCATTCAGTTTCTCCAGGGAGAGTCCCTGCTTTCTCAGGAGAAACCATGAGTGTACAGAGGTTCATTATTTTTCTCCTAGAGTAAAAGTGGCCACTCGGGGAGAAAAATAACTGGAGAACACTGCCTGTGAAGTGGCTCCCTGGAGACAAACAGAAGGGGAAGGAGAGAGTGTTCCCAGCCACGCAGGGAACAGAAAATGGCTCTGAGTGTTTTGGGCTGGAAAAGCTCAGCGCTGAAGCACTTAGGGGGTATAGAATGTTTTGCTCCTGGCTTGTTCCCTGCTTGAATCGCACTGCAGCACTTGGGTGCGAGGAAGCATACAAGCATATCCCTGCCAAGCCACAGGTGGGCTGCAACACAGCATAGGGGAGGGAAAGGCTGGAGGACCCTATGCACAGCACAGACCGTGTCCCCACCTTCCCTGACCCCGACATACTCACTTGAACCAAAAGCCTGAAAACTCTCTAGGCTGCATGCCCTAGAGACCCTCTGGCAGCCCAGTGCTTCTCTGTTTGTCCTTCCGTACAGGTCAGTTTTTTTCTCAGGGAAAGAAACCTGGGAGAGTTGTCCCGGATGATCTGAATGTGTGTCAAGTCCAGTCAGTCCCAAGGCTGTTGTGACCATTGGGGAAACTCAGATGCTGTAATACCCATGTGTGTACACAACCTTTATTAGAAAGTGCCTGTACTCAAAGGTATTCAGATTAGACAAGTGGTAAAAATATAAGATGCTCCAGTTAGGTCTACATAAGATTCTACAAGAGCCTTTGGATGAAACTAGATGGGGAAAAGAAAGAGGAATATTTTTTGTGTGCATCTAAACAGCACCTCTTCAGAAACAAGCTTCACCTCCCATTCATCTCTCAAGGCTATTGTAGAGAGGTGATAATTAGGATGAAGTAAAAGCTGGGCATCTGCCAACCCTACCTCATCCTAAATCCTGCTTTGCTTTTATCTCTCTCTCTCTACCTTCACTGTTCTCTGTAGCTAAATGTTGCAAAGACGGACTCAAGAAAATAAGGAGAGACAAGGGAGTGTGAAATTGGCTAATAAACTATACTCAGCAATTCTTCATTGATGACCTTCATCATCATCTGCAACAAAACCTGATTAATCAATATCAAAAAGTGCTTTCAAGAATGGAGTTGCTTCCAGACTTCTTACAATTCTGTTTGCTTGAGTCCTGAGGGCTACCCCAGTAATATGAGCAAAAAGCAGGTTGGCACCGACCTACAGACTGTAGGACTGCTCCTATTCTGGGGCAGGAGATCTGAATGACTCATCACCAGTGTTCTTAGGACACCCTTTGTGATCATCAGACTGACATGCATAAGTCATGCACCAATTATTATTATTTACTGCATGTGTCACTGCATCATCTAGACTCCTCGGGATGAAATCAAAGCCTCACTATGATAATTACTTACTTGGCACAGAGACTGTAAACTCTTCAGCGCTGGGATTTTCAAAGGCGCCCTAAGAAAGGCATCCAAGTCACACTAAAACTAACAAGAGAAGGATGCCTAAAGCTGTTTTGAAAATCCCACCCTAAATGGGTACGGCAAACAAAGGCTGAGAGAACAGAAGTACTGTTATCTCCATTTTGCAGATGTGGAAGCAAGACAGAGAGAGATTAACCAACCTACCCAAGTTCACTCAGGAGGCCTTTCAAAATCCCTGTGTCTGTAATACATAATAATACAATTCCACAAATCTGACCTCTTATCTTATGACAAGCCAAATGCCAGTAGGTGGATAAGTTCTTGGCTTTTTGAAGATTCTTATTTTATTGCAGTGACACATATTACTGAAATGCTCATTACACTACAGTGTTTTGTTTAGCATCCATCACACAAACATCACCTATTTTATAGTTAAAAGTAACACACTACAATTAATAGTTAATGTACCACCAGCTTTTACCTTTAGTGCTATATATTCCATGTGCTTAGAATGGAAAATACTGTTGCATATCTAGTTACTGCAAACAGAAATACCCAGCTTTTAATTACAAACTATAATCTAAATAGGAGACACCACAATCAATCAGCTTTTAAAGTTTAGGTGTCTAGACTCAAAGGTCACTGGAAACCTTCCTAAAGATTAAGAAGGCCCAAGTGAGAAAGAAGTGTTAAGGGGAACAGTGTTTATTAAAAAAGCAGTGACAATGGTAATCTTAGGAGATACTAATGTATCCTTAAAGCAGTGGTTCTCAACCTTTACAGACCCAAGGAACCCCTTGTTAGATGCAAGATACCTCTCAGAAAATGCCAGGTCTTATTTTCACTCATTTTTTGACAACAGAAAAGAGTGCCATAACAGGTTTAAATGCTATGAATTCCTATTTGAAATCACTAGGTTTATCATGTGAATCCTGTTCGCACACCTAACAGTGCTAACTTTGCAAAGCATCCCAGGACACCCTTGTAAGGATCTCAAGACACCCCAGGGTGCCATGACACTCTGGTTGAAAATCACTACCTTAGAGCCATCTGACTCAACACTTTTCCATCATATTGAAGATGGAGTCAGGGATGTGAATACTTTCTTAGCCCAGACTTCTAACTAATGAAAATGCTCCGGCACCTGGTTTCTGAGATCCATCCATTCCCCATACAAATTCACTCTCCTCACAATTTAGTACTGACAATGGCATACTAATTTACTGGGTTACATAGTGACTGAAGACCACTCCTCTCTAAATATTAATCTGCCCTATTTTTGTCATCTGCACTCCTGTCCTGATATTGATATCACTTAGCTATACAGCCTATTTTGGCCAGGAAATCAAATTAACTATTCACTTTAAAACCAGTCAGAAATGTGCTTCAGTCACACCCTCAAACCCATGTTTTGGAAAAATTTGAACCTGATCTGAATGAGAACTTTGCTTCCCAACTCTACTGGCCCAAATTTCCCTTGGGGAAAATTTAAATCAAGACATGAACATTTCAACTATGGTACAGCTCCAACAGTATTCTGTTAACTGCTCATCAATCAATGAGAGGTGTTACTATCACACCAGTGCTTCTTCCCTCACAGGGAACAATGATGGAGTTAAGCCCCTTTCCACTTTCACATTTATTGCTTGTTTCCCTAGCCTGAAAAACTGCAGACAAAGTAAAATGAGAATCCATTTATCAATTAGCCTCTGGGCCTTCTCCCAAGTTTAGGAAGTTCATCCCCTAAAAATGGAAGCTAAACTATATTTAAAGTGAAGTAATCCTTATTTAGTACTTTTTACCAAAACCCCAATGATGTTTGCAAGCCCTCTAACAACCCTATCACTTGCCCCATCTCTGACTGCATCCCCATCAATGAAACCTGGTATTTAATGAATATACTGTTTTTTTGTACTTCTAATTTGGGTGTTGCATGAGAGGACTTTTACCGTGATACATACCTTTGGAACAATCTTAACGTGGAACAGAACGTTCTGAAAATAGTACCCATCATTCACTTGGAGAACAACTGTATCATCCAGACTATCGGAGCCATCATGAGCATAATGTAGGAGTCCACTGGCCAGTTCATGAAGGCTGAATACTTGGACTTCAGAAGCTGCGTCCCCTGGAGGTTTGACCAGCCGGCCATGATGTGGAGGGTCTAAAACCATTACCACTACATCCTGAGGATTGTCATTGTCTTGAATATCAAGGAGCAAATCTGTTATAGCAGCAATATCCCCTCTGCTGATAAAGAGGGCTTCATTCCGTAGCATGTATGGTGCCTAAAACACAAAAGCAGCTCTTAGATGTTTGCTAAACTATAGAGCTCTAATGATGATCAAAGCCAGGGATGAAAGATTGCAGGGGTGGGGGGTGGGGGGAGGGAAGAGGAGGATGAATTCATTTCATTTACTGGAAAGCTCATATTTCTACGCAACAGGGAATCACTTGCAGCACTTTTCCTCACCTAGGTAGATCTAAGAATATCTAGCAATTTAGACAGATTTAATTACATGCAACAAAGACTCACACACAGCAGCAACGTTAACATAAAAACCTCAGGACATTTATACATTAAGCAATTTAGTTACATAGTCACTGTGTGTATTCACCTGGCTGCTCTGGTTGGATAGCTGAATAGCAGCCTGGGAACAAATCACAATTTCACTTAGGTCATGAGATTTCTGAGTTAAAACTGACTTGACCCTTGCATATTTGGTAGGTTTATGCTTCAGACACATACTTTAACACGAATAGGCCTAACTGAACAACATCTAGACTCTGAACTTGCGTAGACTGAAATACAATGCTTGAGTAGAAACATTTTCTTTTTCCTGCCTGGGCCAAAAATATACTCACTATCTCCACTACTTTATGGCTTCCTTTGTCTTCATACTTAAAGTCCTGCCTCGAGTGCAGTCACACTGCTTTGGCTTGCCCAATGCCAGTCCGAGATGGAGAAGGCATAACTTCTATTGGAGTAGGCTGGGATGAGGGAAGAAAATGTCCCTGGAGTCTGTAGCATATATTTTTTTCTCTTAGGCAAGTCCTCCTGTTGTACCTGCTTGGACAATATTTCTCTACTTGGTGGGAGAGAGAGCACCACTCTCTGTATCACCAGTTCCACTTCCCACAGCTCTTATGCATTCCTTGGCTCTCTCTCATGTATGTAAAGATCAGGTCCAAATTTGCTTAATCACATTAATACAATTGCAGTCTTAGGTAGAAGGATAATATTATTAAATAGCAATATTTATTATGGCAGTGCTCTGGGAACCACTGAGATCAGAGCTGTATTATGCCAGATCCTGTACAAAACACAGGGTAGCAGACACTCTCCACCACTTGAAGAGCTTACAATTTAAAGAGACAAGACAGAGAAATGGATATGGCACTGGAAATTGTCTGCACTGCACTATATTGTGTGGCACAGACATAACCAGCTAGACGTTCATTCCTTGGTTCCTAGAGCAGTCTAGTGACAGGAGGAGACCTGCTTGAGAGGTCAGGTGTATTTACCCACACTGAGATCTGTGCTGCTCCAGCCAGACTACATGGGGTGCATCAAATAGTTGGTTTAAAGCTAGCTCAGGTACATCTACCCTACACTGCAGTCACAGTTGTGACTTTCATGTAGATACACATGCAGATCGCTGCTTCAGTTCTGCGCTGTTTTGGTACCCATGAGTTTCCTTCAGGTTTAAAGAGAGGCTTTATCTAGGCAGCACACATAGTGAAAACATGTTATTTCAAAAATCAGAACTTGGAAGGCAAAGAAAACAGCCATCTCTACCTGCTGGCTCCTGTCACATATTTTTATTGCCCCTTTGGAATGGAAACTCTCACTCCATTTTGTATGACTGCCCAACCATGAGCGTAACTCATGAATGGAACCTCCAGGGCCAGATTGTATTCTGCCTATTAGGCACATAGTTGGACTTAGGCACCTAGGGCATTTATAAACATACTGTTTTGTTTGGCGACATGCCAGAGATCTGCTGCTTCTGAGCAGACTCGATTAATTGAGTCTGCTCCACATGCGAACAGATGCATACTGCACTGCGCTGAATGCAGTTGTATAAGCAGCAAAATGCATGTCAGCGCACAAAAAATGGCAGTGGTACATTTTTGAACTTCCATGGTGTTTTAGTTCAAAAGTGCGCCACTGTCATTTTCTCAGTGCTGATGCACATCTCACCACTTATACAACTGCAAGTGTCGCAGCGCCAGGTGCTTTTCAAAGCACTCGGCGCTGTGGCACTTGCACATGTAAAAATGTCCTTAAGTGCTATTCTATTCCACCCTGCTCAGATCCTGGAAGAACTGCTACAGCAAAAAGAGGGGTCCATCTCCCTTCTTTTCATAGATTTTTTGCAACTTAGCCTTAAGGGTAAGGTGATGGGGTGTTACAAAAGTAGATGCACTAATGGATTTTTAGTACCTGAACAGGGAGAAATCACACTTAGATGCTTAAGCCCACTTAGATACCTAATAGGTGAAATAGAAGCTGACCTTGCTAGAGGTTACCATAATACAAATACATATTAATGACGACCTTATGCCCCTGTGACACATTACACTTTAAGATGTGATTAATCACATCTTAAGTTATAACCCAGCCATACGTTCAATCAATTAATGGCATAATAAAAGGAGGAATAAGCCACAAAGTTATTCCACAAAAAGGTGTAATAACTTTGTGGCAGGCTCCTAGCAATTCATTAATTGACTGTATATCCAGGTGCACTCCAGCAGCTGGGAGCCCCATCGGCTGAAGGAGCTCCCAGCAACAGGAGCTCACTACTTGCCAGTCATGTGATCTGATACTTGATCCCACAATCATGCCTCTTTGTGTGGCATGGCAGGAAGCACAATTGTGTGGATCATGCATTAGATCCTATCATGTCTAGCTGCACATCTAGCTGGGGCCTTAGTTTCAAATTGCAGTTTGTTGAAATGTGGCTTGTTTTCAAAACATCTCTTCTTCTTCTCTGCTTAAACAAGCAAACAGCACACCTTATTATTAAGCTGATGTTCTTACTGCAACATGAAGAGCAGTGCTGCCAAAGCACAGGATGTGAGCAACTGGGGCCTACCTATTCCCTAAAATGCACATTAAAAAAAATCTGAAGTGATGGCTTCACACACATGAATGACTTGCATAATATCTTAATGGAGCTAACAGCCCTCAGCTTGTGTTAAAGCTTCTAAATGGAAATGACTGAATCAATTAACATGGGAAGAAACAGTATGTACTTAGTCCAGAGTAAGGAAGTGGGCCTTGAAACAGTCAACAAAACCATTCCGCCCCTGGACTGTTTTGGACATTTTTAAAGACCTTACAGGGCCTTACACAGCCTGAGAAGAAGCCCAATAACAACTCAGATTTTCCCACCTTCCAGTGAGTTTCTTCCCGTGAGGACAGCCCCCTATCAATGCCCACAAAATACTGCTTCCTGTCAATAATCTCTTTTCTAGCCTGTCTCTTGGCAAGGATGAAGGAAGGTTCTGCTGTGATAAAGTCTAAGTTATGAAAACATTCATTAGAGGCCGTCCCTTAACCAGCTCCCACATACAGAGTTTATCAGGATTACTGAGAACTGACTGGCAAAACTGAGGTTATTAAATCAAGTTATGGATTTGGGGCAGACTGACAATCTCAGGTAGAGCCCCACTGCTGTGAACAGCAGCTTACGCTGAGGGACATGTCAGGATCAACTGAAAATAATAAGGGAATAACCAGAATTAATTCTCTCAGTTGTCTGAGACAGATCTTTCCAACTTCTCCTACTGGCCTTAAAATAAATCTAGGACACTATTAAAAAAATCAATATAGAACATAATAGTTAAAAACATGAACATGGAAACAAGATTTTTTTTCCAGTTGGCATTAAAGGGGCCAATTCTGTGAAGACCTCAACCCTCTAAACTTCTACTAACTTCACACGATCGAGAGACTTTCTGCCTCGAACAGTTCCTACGATTCTGCCAGTAGACATCAACCCTTCTCTAAGTGGAGGACTGATTTCATTCTAGGAACATATTGCTAAAAGGCCACTGATGCTATATGCTGTGAAAAAAAAAAATCAGCAGCCCAGGGTGCTTTGGAACTGCCTTGCAGCTTGCTATAGTTTTACCACAGTAAACCTCAAGCACGGCACTCCTAAGCATGGCACTTGAATATTTCCAGTTCAAAAGTTCCAATTTTAAGGCTCAAGACACTAAACTACTCATCATGATTCAGCCCAATAAGGCAGATTAAGTCAGTAGCAGAAGGACCAAAGGTAAGAACATTTTACACTGCTGTGACAATGTGAATAATTAATTATATATATAATGTATCTTACCAACCTTTTATAGAAGCAGGATGTTGGCTGCTGTAGTGTCCCTGCTTTACCTGTGGCAGGTTAGCGTGTTATGTCTTGTGTTGTGCCAGTAGTTTTACAAAGAGTTTAGATTTTGGATTTGTATAAGGGGGTTGGGCTAGATGACCTCTGGAGTTCCGTTCCAGTGCTACTTCTCTATGATGCTATGATTCTCATCCCCATGTTAATGTCCCTTCATACTTCTATATGCTTAAGGCAGGGGTGGACAATTATTTGGGCAGGAGGGCCACTTAGGGAGTTTTGGTGAGCTATTGTGGGCTGGTTCACTTCCTCCCCCTCACCCACAACAGCTCATCAAAACTCCATAAGTGGCTCTGCCCTGTGCTTGGCCAGGTGGATGGGATGGAACCACGAGCAGGCAGAGCGCAGCATCCAGAAGCAGGATGGGCAGGTGGGGCTGGGCCTGGGATGAGGATCACAGAGTGGTGACAGAGCAAAGCTGGGGCCCGAGGCAAAAATCCCCTGGTGGGCTGGATCTGGATCCTTTGGCAGACCATACTTTGTCCCCTTTTAGCTTATGGTATGTCTATAGAGCAGCAACTACAATTCATATAAATATACCTGAGCTAGCCTTAAGTTAGATAGTTCTGATACATCTAGAAGCATAACTATGGTAGCAAACAGCTCAACATGGACTGCAAAGCCTACTTGAGAAGCTGGGTGGATATGCTGGTTGTTTGCCTGAGCTCAGCTCCATGCGGCCATGACTAAGCTGCTATCAGTGTCCAAACTGGTTAGTTTTAAACTAGCTCAGGCATATCTACATTAGATGCAGTCACTGCAGTGCTGTAGACTTACCCTTATTTAAATGCAAATCAGGTATACAGTGATGAGATGGGATTACAGATACTGATTGTCTAAAATCTGCACACATATTTAGTCAGTGCTAAACCATTTGTTTAGCTTTGTAACCCTTTCTTACCCACCCACACCCACCCAGTGCTTATTTGCCTCATCATTTATATCTTACCTTGTATAAAAAGTAAACTGTTTGGGACAGGAATTTGTCATTTGCTAAATCCAGTGATGCTTGACCTGCAGCCCATGGGCCAAAGCCATGTCATCCAGTTTGCAGGGCTCCTCATGGGTCCAAAAAATTTGGTATCAAGGGAGTAGTGGCCATGTTAATTGCAATAGCTCTGGAAGACCTTCCAGAGTCGTGGCAATTAATGGTACTACTGCTACCCTGTTGCCAAATGTCCAGACCTGTGGGGAGCCCTGCAGGCCAAATAATATGGTCCCATGCACTGGATCAAGAGAATCAGACCATGCCTGAAGCTGGTGCATGGGGCTGGGCCAGCACGCGGAGTCAGACCACAGCCAGAGCTGGTGCACAGGATCAAGCTGGCATGCCAGATTGTATTTGCATGCCAGCCCTATGCTGGATCTGGCCTGTGGACCAACCCCACCTACAGGATCTGGCTCACAGGGTTAGAAGATTGAGCACCACTGGCTAAGTCAGTAAGGCATTGAATGTAATGAGCTGCTTGAGTAGTACAGTGCAGATGTAACAGCAGCATACAAGGGAAACACCTGATGATCAGATCAACTTGAGTAAAAGAGGTGAGTGGTTTAAGAGGTACACAAATAGATACACAGAGGCATTTCAGAAGCTCTTTTGCTTAAGTTTGTTCTGAGCTGCTGTACTGGATTGGCAGCCCTGGAATAGAGAGTCTAACAGGCAGGTCTCAAGTGCACAAGAACCTATTATAGAGATGACTCACCTGACAAGCAATAAAAGACTGAACAACTAAATCTTAGATTTTAAACAGGAAGGATTCCTAACACAAATATCAGCTTTCACTCTGCTCTTCTACCCTAAATGTGCACAGCACTACAATATGGGGCCCAATTCTTCTCTAACTGTAATTGATGTAATTCCACTGAGTCACCCCTTCTCAAGGTAAAAGAATCTGTCCATGAGCACTTACAGTAAATTTTCTTTGGCCTAAAGAAATTCAAGTTGATTAGGTTTTGCTTAGATTAATCTGATATTCCTGCAAGAAGTCAGAGTTTCTCTCTCAAAAATATATACAAATCAGGGGGTTCTTCAGCTTTACCTGTGTTGAAATTGCTTGAACGGTGATCACTTCCGGCTGAGAGAAGTTCTGCTGATCACTGACCTTCAAGGAAAATTGTCCTTTCCTAAACAAGTCCCACAAATACCCCCAAAAGAGAACATAAATGAATGAAGCACACTCAGAGACTAAGACTTGTATACCGTAGTTACTCTAATAAAAGATGATCCTGATTATATGACGATTTCCCAACCATTCGATTCTATACATTGGAAATTTATAAATTTGTTACAATTTTCCAGGGATAGAAACTAATTACTGGAGGTTTGCCTTGGATTTGTCCCCCTACCACTGCTACAGCAGGGAAAATAAGTCTGGGGGGTCAGGTGGTTCTGCTTCCCCTCAGCAACATTTTCCCTCTCTCCTTACTGTCAGACCCTGCCCTCCCTGAGCACATGGAAGTGAGAAGCAAATCTGAAAACAATAACTTTGAAATTAAACATGGGTGTAGCAATTTGCATATAGTAGCCTACACCCCTGCATATAGTAGCCATGCACTTAGTTCATCCAGAATTGATGCATGTTACCTTTTTTTGAAACTGCTGCAACTTTTAGCACAGATACTCCATAAACATGCTTTTGAGCAACACCTGGGAACCTACATACAAACTACACATGATATTAGTCCAAAGCCAAAGGCTCATGATTAGACACATAGTTTATTGGGTTGGGCCCAGCATAGTTCAGCATTTCAAGCCATGGTGACCCCACAGCTCAGCACTGCTCAGTATGTGCGTGTACTCCAGATACCCCCCACAAAGGATGCATGTACTAATTACCCCCCACACATGACTGGAACTGGGTGTTTTCATCATGAGTCCTGGGATCCTCCAAAAATGTGTATGCGGATGAGGCTCAGGCCAACTTAGTCTGGTGTCACCTCATGGAGAATGGGACCACACTAATATTGTGTGGCAGGCTGAGAGAAGGAGCTACAGATAGATTCTAGGTGAACTGTTTGGGCCCCTGCCTTGTGTTGTTTGTCAGGCATTTAATGCTGGTGAAGAAACAGGAATCACTGGAAATGGGAAAGAGAGGCACAGCTCAGGTGTAGGAGTGAAGAAGAAGTCAAAATGTATGCAATGTCATGGCTCCTGATGACTTGCAAAAAAGTTGGCAGTGAGAAGGACTGCACTTAATGGGCACTACCATATGTCTTACTCAGACAGGCTATACTAACCAATTCTTGTGGTAGGTTCCCATCAGTATGTCTGCCTAATGTGGGCTATGTGCTTTATAATAATGCTCAATGCTGGCTGCATTCAGTCAATGTTATAGTTGGTTTCCACTGCTAAGCACACACTGCTTTCGGCAGCAGTTTAATGACAAATAATGTATTTAGTGAGTTTTCCTTGTATGCGATTATAAGACATGGGACTTTTTTTCCCTATGACAACTGGGAGGGAAACCTCATCCTGTATTTGAAGAAATATAGCATTCAAAAAGGAGAGAGTAAATTAGTGGTAGGTGAGTTAAATGTTTTCACATTTAAGTACATCTTGTTTTTTCCAAGTATCTTTACTGAAGTCCATTCATAATATGGATTGATGTACCTCATTTCCTCTTGCCTATTATTACTCACAGTAATTATTCAACATGGACTCTCGATATAACTATTCTATTCAAGAATACTGGGTAGGATTTACAAAAGTCCCCCATTCACTAAGAAGCTTCTGAAAATCCCACACATTCAATCCCACCACTCCCAACTACAAATTCTGAAGCCAACATCCTGGCATTTCTTTTTCATGATCAGGCATAAAAATATCCCTGATTCTATAGAAAACAACATACTGCTGTCTCATTCTAATTCAGAATTAGCTAAGACTTGTAAACTTGTTTTCTGATCTTTCCAAAAAGGGCACTATGAAAGTATAAAGATTTTATTGAAAGCGAGGGGCTTACTCTTAGTTTATACATGTGTAAAACTTTAATAACTTCATTGGTTTTGGCCTATGTTGAGAAGCTTATTCTGTTTTTATGGTGGCATTGAATATGAAGTATATTTTTGGCTAAATCTCCACTCTTGCACTGGCACGTTCAGCTGGCACTCAGTAGAAGTCTGCATTCTTATGAAATATGTTTAGCAAACAAGCATTCCCAGGTACTCATTGTGTACTAGCAGGTGTACCATATATGCTACATAGATTATGTTAAAACCTAAACCAGCAATGGCTGAATGCTGATCATGCCGAGATGCAGAAATGTGAAAGTAATACAATATCTTCCTTTGTAATTTATGAATTAGCTGTATTTGCCACAGTCGCCATTAAAAATAAAAAAATTACCACCAACACCACAGTTCCTCAAGAACTGGCCCTGCTCCACCTCTTACTGAATTCAACAGCAAACTCCCACTAACTTCAACTGGAGCTAGATCGTACCTCTCTCTCATTATAAATATAGAGAATAAATATTGTGCCACAACTAAAACCATGGTACTGCAGCTTTGGTTTAGGTGGAATTTTAACAGTGAAATACTAAAGTGCCCCTCACAGAAACAACAAGCTACAGCACAGTTCTAGGAGACTGAGTAATTGCCCTCAAGATATATCCCTCTTCTCACAGAAAGACATAAAAATAGAGGTGCCCAGTCACCTGGATTTTTCTTTGCTGTGCACAAAGCGGACTCTCTTCTCCTGTACATCCTCCCAAGTGAAATGGTCACCCTTGTTCAGTTGCACCTCTTTCTTGTCAACCATTATCACTAGCCTGCCATTGGTGGGAACACTGACCACATGGAACAGAAACTCTCCATCTTTGCCATCCACATCATGCACATCCATGACGGAAGAGTCAAGTGGCTTTATCCCACCAATCCCCACTGTGAACAAACCTTTCAGTAGGAGAACAGAAGCAGGCTTGATGGCTAAAAATAAGGGAGAAAAGCATGAATATACAGATATTCAACCCTTATACAATCACAGCCTAGGCCCCTGCCATACGTTACATTAATTATGCAATTAACTGGATAAACATGCAAAAATTTTAGACTGTTCGCATGTGCAAAGTAATTGCCATGCCATAAAAATGTCCATCCAGCTATAAAGAGAGCCAACCAGCTACAAAGTTAGTTCTTGAAAATGTTTAACAACTTTATAGCTGTTTTTTGTCCAGCCTTAATTTGAATGTGTGGCAGGGTCCATAGGTGTGTTTGCTACTGCCCTCAACTGGTTGAAGTGCCACAGACCCTTCATTGCAGGAAGAAAGTGTGGTCTGGAGGAGTGATCCAAATTCAGAACCAGTCTCTGGCACTGTCTGTGTGACTCGAGCAAGCAGATCATTTCTCATTTGACTTTCTTATCTATAAAACAGATGCAACAATGCCCAATGACTTTCTCTTAGTGGCATGTTATAAATACTAAGTATTATTGCTTTTTCCTACATAGGTTGTTTTTTTCGTTGCATGGATGATGGGGGAAAGCAGGCAGTTGAAGGGAGGGGTGCTTACATACACTTATTTAACTTTACTTGTAAGTCCATTCATGTTTTTTCCTCGAGAAATGCTATGGAGGACTAGCTTCCAATTCCTTTTAATAGCTGATTCCTAAACATGGAAATTCTGTATAAAACTTGATCTTCAAAATACTTCTAAACAAATGCTACCTCTAGAGCCAAAAACCTGTCACCAAATGTCAGGTAGGTAGCCTTATCATAAGAAACACTCACCTTCACACTTTCTAGTCCTGCTGTTACCATAGAAATCATGGCCACACTCAGACACACAAAGGTTGTTCTTCAGAAATGTGGTGGTATCACAGACTTGGCACTGGCTGACATTATCACACTCCAAGCATCCTGCAGGGCAAGCTGATATGGATGGAAAGCACAGCTCCATTAGACACATCAAACTATGAAGCAGTGCATTTGAAAGTATCCCTGTATCTCATAATAGGAAATAGTTCCTGCCATGAATACCTTCTACAATGGCAAAAATTGATTAAAGAGGACACCCAGGGTGTGCCCACACTTGCATATACACAATAGGCGTCCTTAAAAATAAAAATTGTCGTAAGTTTGAAAGAATGGCATGCTTCACTGAGTACAGGGAATCTCTCTCCAACAGATAATCTTTTAAAACAAAAATGTTGAAAGTACAGCCACTATTTGAAAAATGTGGATGTGTATTCAGAGTCTGCACAAGTAGCTAGTCCCCAGTTACAACACAAAACTTTGAACGTATTTGAATTTTATATATAACAGTGTCGCCGCCGAGAGCCGCGGCGTGGGGTTCGGGGCCTTAGGAGCCCTAGTCGGCGGGCGGGTACTTGTGACGCTTGGAGTGGAATCAGGTACTGACGCGTTTTGATTAAACAAAAAAGGTTGTTTACTTACACTGCTCGTACAGTGCAGGCCAGAAGCTTGCTTCGATTACGGTTGTGAGCAAAACTTGGGTCGGGCAGAAATTACAAAGTTCGTTTGGTCGGTCTGCAAATGTGTCGGGCCGGCAGTTGTCGGGTTACGTCTAGGTCTAGGTCGGTGACGGGGAGCGATTAGAGGTTGATCAGGCCCCTAAGTTCTTCTCTAAGACACGCGGAGTTTGCTAGGCTCCACAGCGTGCTCAGAGCTCTCCACGAGATGTATGTGGAGTTCTCCAACTTGGGCGGAAACTGCTTCAACCTCTTATACGGCTAGCAAGCCAATCGCTGGCCGCCAGATAGGAATAATTTAAAACTGGCCAATAATGGGGTACGAATTTACATAAGATTGGCGGGAACTATTTCTAGGTCATTAATATATAGTCACTGGGCTCTGGAGTTTTCCACTCATGACCTACTTACATGACCTACTTACAAAATGATTGACAGACTGTGCCTTCTGTATCAAACTATGGAATCCTCCACTGTACTATAGGCATATGAACAATGGGTTCTGACAAACAGGATACTTTATTCTTGTTCTAGACAAATTTAAAGGGTGACTGAAACGAGACTTGCAGTCTGCATAAAATTATGCTGTGTCCTAATTCACTGCAAGTAGGCTCCAGTGCAGGCACACAGAGGTGTAACAATATGGCTGGGCAGCTGGGGCAGGTGCCACACTCAGGGGCAGCAATGACTTCCAGTTCTTGCCATGCCACTGGTGCAATGGTAGGGCTGCAGTGGCAGCTGTTTTTTTCTGCTTCCCCCCACCCAACTCAGTGCCCGTGGCACCTGTCCTGGTTGTCCCACCTTACTTATGCCATTGCAGACATAGGCTGTTCCTCAAATTGATTTCACTTAGTCAGCAGTAAATTTCACATCATTGCATCATTTCACATCATGTTCCTTGTTTGCCTAAGCCCTGATATGTGAATTAATAAATGGAACAGAAAAAGTTGCAACCTCAATCCCCTTCCACCTTAGGTCTGTTCACCTGCACATTTTTGCTTCACATGGTCTTCATAATATTTCTTCCCACATTCACGGACACACTGGGTTTCCAAGAGAAAAAATGGAGCTTCACAAAGAGTGCACTCCATTGGTTGGTGACACTGGAGGCAGTGGTCATCACATCCTGAAAAACAAACACCGAGGAAGCCAAAATAATTCAGCACCAAATATATGCTAGCAAGTGGACCTTGTACTGCTACTGTTATGAAAACTATGCTTTTCTCTGCATGTGTTGGGTATGTCCGTCTCTCAGTCATGAATAATGCAATATATGAAATTAGACTAAGGCAAGACATGCAATTACATATTGCAGGTTTTCTTTCTTTTATATCATGATAAATCATTAAGAAGTAGGGCTGGAAGGGACCTCTATAGGTCATCTACTCCAGCCTCTGCCTGAGGCAGAATCATCCCTAGCTAAACAGTCCTATACAAATCTAACCTCTTAGTAAAACTATTCGGTCACCCTGACACAACACAAGACATAACAACCACAATTCACAAAGAAGCATAAATGCTATTGGGGCTCTCTGACTAGTACTGACTGCTCTCATGACTCCTCAGTCAATCAGAGCTGAGCATCAGTGATCAACAAAGATGCAAAGATATAGCATATGCATGTGGTTGAGGGCAGCTAAAGGGTTAAACCATGAGCTACATGCCAATTAAAATGAGAGACAAATTGGAAAATAAACTAATGTGGTATGATACTGTGACAAGTAGTAAAAGCAGCAGCCCACAGACTCACTCTGACAAATGTCTGATTCCTTGTAGAAACCTTGTGGGCATTGTTCCACACAAGCCCCATCATGAAGAACAAAATCATCCATGCACTGTAGACAGTCTGTCCTCTGGGGACCTTTGCAAGCATTACAGCTCCAGTCACACTCTGGAATAAAAGAAATGGCCGAGTAGGGCAGCCCCCTGTTATGGGCATTTAGCATTGTACCAGTGGTTTAGCACACTGCTGTGGAGGCTAACAACCTAACTGTGAAGGGTGAAGTAAGTACAGAGTAACAGATCTAAAATAAAAACGATTTCTGAAGAAGGGTCTTCTTACAACAGCATGATTTTTTTCCTCTTAGGCTTAACATTTCCTAATACACAGCCATGGATAGATATTGTTCACTGCCTCTCAGCAAAGCAGCTTAGCAGCTAGAGAGAGGTGATCTTATCTTTTAGTGCCACCAGTCCTCACCTGCCAGCTGAGCTTGTTGCTCATTACTACTTATCTTCATAAGTACTAATGAATCCCTGCGACTTTCACATGCAGCACCTCCTGGGATTCTGAAGCTTTCCCAGTTATTCTAACCGAACAAAAGGGGAGGGTCACACTCTAGTCAAAATGCCTTCCTGGGAAGTCCTCAAGATAGAAATACAGTGAATGTGGCTCAGCTGAGCTGTGCATTCAGATGCCCTTGGTGTTGCTGGAGTCTGCTGCAAAGTCTGTGCATGTACATCTCCAAAGTGGAGTTTGATCTACACTACTAGTACTGCAGTAACACTGAGAAGCCCCAATCAAAATTGGAACCCTAGGGTGTTAGATCCTGTATCACCACATAATGCCAGACAATATCTGCTTCATAGAGCTTGCAAAGTAAACAGACAAAGGCAAGGTTCACACATTCAGTTTCTCCTGGGACAGCCAATGCTCTCCCAGAAGAAACCACGATTAGCAGATGTTCAGGAGTTTGCTCCCAGAGCAAAAAATGGCCACTCCAAGAGAAAACTAACCCAGGAACGGCCAGGACTAAATCACTCCCAGGAGAGTTTCTGCTAGGAGACTGAATGTCTGTACGTATTTTCTTCTGAGAAAAGCCACTACACATGCCTCCAGCATCCCAGGGTGCTCTATTCCCACTTCCTTTTTGCCCCACCTCCAGGGAGACAGTATGTCACTCACTGGACTCTGCTGTTACAGCCCAGCAGGAAGCGGAAAGTGCCCCTTCCACAATATCACATTGTGCTGCTGGGGGACACAGACTGACCCTAAGCAGTTTGGGTCAGCTAATCAGGGCTGCCCTGTGCACTACTGCCATCTTCCTCCAGGCAAACTGAGTCTGCTGAGCAAGCTGAGATGCATGCACAGAGGTCCCCTGGCTGCAGTGTCAGCACTGTAAGCTGTCTGTTCTTCAAGGTCTCAGTATTTGAATGTCTGTTCAGGTGTCACCAGGTAAATTTTTCTACCAGGAAAACAAACCTGGGAGAATTCTCCTGGATCATTTGAATGTGTATATTCAGACAAAATAGACAGAGAGAGGGAGAAGGAACAAATGCCCATAGGGAAGGTGACTTTCCAAACATCACACAGTGGGTTCATCTACATGTTGTTACTGCACTGACATTTAGTACTTCCTTTTGGAAGTAGTAAAAAACGGAGCAGTAACAGCTGGTACTGTGCACAGTTATACTTAGGCACTTGCACTGTAATGACACACTATAACTGGGGAGTGTGTCACTACAGCAAAGTAGCTGCAGCCTCATGGATTTTGCCCATGGATGCTATATCTCCGTAGCGTATTGCTATGGCAGTGTAGCATCATGTGTAGATGCACCCAGCAAGTCAGTAGCACAGGCAAGACTAGACCCTTGATTCTCAGTCCCACCCCTATGTGTTAAGCCACAATGCTTCTCTAAAGTACTGAAATATTTAAGACACCCACATGACTAAGTTAAGTTGGGCTTAAGGAGAAATGGTTAGAAATCAATACTGAATAATAATTACTGTATTCTAGATCTTTGAATAGCAATGGCAGCCCATGATAAAGCCATAGTATCTTCAGACCACATTTCTATTATGGCATATTTTCTACGGGAGTTTTGGAAATCTTTCTAGTCATGTGTCTTTTAAATCTTTCTCCATTTTTTTGGTTCAGTGGTGCAGTACTTAATAAAAGCAAAGACAATCAGGTAAATACACAAGACTCTACAAGAACTTTAAAAAAGATTTAGAATGTTAAGCTTACTCATTACTCAGTTGACCCACGTCTGAGTAAATTGCAAAACCTGACCCTTGCAAAGTCTGATGACTCCCTTACTAAATCATTTACAAGGGAAGGATTTGCACTAATCTTGTTGTTCACACAGAACTAAGGTATGGGGCAGCAGACAGCTGAAAAAAAGAAGGAAGTAAAAACCACTTGGTAGCAGATCACCTAAGCAGACTATGCTGCAGTACCCCAGAGTATAAGCACAAACTAAACTTTATATTTCAACAAAATATGACTCACCTCTGCAAGTCTTAGTGAGGAAATCAAGATAATACTGCTGAGTGCAGCTTTCATACTGGCATTCGCCAAACAACAGAACTTTAGTCAAGTCTCTGCATAACGTACAGCCTGCCGTCGACTCACAGCTCAGACACTGGCTATTGCAAGCTGCATATGGGGAGAAATACAGAGGAAAACATGTTGCAATTGTTGAAACACTAGGCTGCTGTGCAAGTTAAATGATATTAGAATTGCCTGCATCTTCATTATGGAAACTACTCTTTGGAGTGTCTTCTGGAGCAGCTTCTAGGAAGTTTTCCTTTGCTACCATACCCAGGGCCAACAAAGTGAAAATCCTCTCTCCAGGCAAAAAAAGAGTGCTGGACATAGAACTTGTTAATTCGATTCTCTGTGCTTACCAAACAGAGCTGTCTGACATCAATATAAGGTATGGCCTTCTCATATCTGGAGAGAGCATAGGGACTGATAATTCAGAGAACCAACTTCCAGCTTTGAACTCGAATTCAAATCTCCAAAGAAGTTTTCTTAAAGCATTTTTATGAAGGTTTATAGATCTGAATGCCAAAATGGACCATTAAGACCTTCTATGTCACATAAGTACTAATATTTCACCAAGCATTTCCTGCTTGTATATATTACCTGTTGCTAGAAATGAGAGGTGTTTTGAAATGCATATGGACAAGAAAAGAATAATCTGGCAGTTCAATAGTCAACATTCAAAATATTGCACCTCAACTCTTTGATGCCAGGAGCCTGAATTTCTCAGGATGTTCAGCCAATTCTAAACTGTATTCAGCATTAATACTAGAACTCGTGCCTATCCTATTTAATAGCAAAAGAAGAAAAAGGAATTATACACAGTGTAGCCTAGGTACTGAAAGTCCTGTCTGACGCTGACCTGCCTACACTATCCTTTTAATAACAGGCAGCCATTTGGAGGGGAACAACAAAATTCAGAGCCAATATTCTCAGATCTACACAGTCAAAAAATTCTGTGGGTTTGCACACCTCACTTGTGGTTGCCACAGTTGTGCTAGAAAATGCATCAGCTGTGTATACAAATGCGAGTTAGGTACATAACTGTATGCTCAAATAACCGGTTAACTCAAATACAATAAGAGTACTTGCTCGATCAAATACAAGTTCAATTTTGTATACAGAATCATACAGGCAAAGTTCTGAAAATATGGCCCTACATATACAGAAAAACAAGCCTGACAGACTTGTTTTGATGGCCAAAGGCTTTCACAGTTCAGCACAGACTCAAGGTTGAGCTCCACTAAAATTAACTATTGTTATTAAACAAGGAATCCAACAGTTGCTTCTTCTGGTCCCTGCTGCAGAGTAATGTTATTAACAATTCATGAAGCTTAGTTCATGCTCTTCATAAAGGCATCCACAACGTTCTGAGAAAGACCCCAAGCCCACTTCCACTCAAGTCAATAGCAAATTTGTCATTGACTTTACACCCAAAGCATGCTATAGGATGAAAGTTCAGGAACTGGCATATCCATTCACCATCCATACTTTATCATTTTCATCTGTCAGATGATGAAGACACTTAAAGGCTTTTCTTGTCGAAAGTGACACCCTCAAAAAGCCCAGAAAGCATTTGCAACTCCATTTTGCAGAAGAGGGAGCATGTAATGGGGGGCACTTACGTTTGCATGCCTGGCTCCCATCCCTGTAGTGTCCAGGGAAGCAGGCTGAAGTGCACAAGCCAGTGTGGGACAAAACAAGACTCGATTCACAGGAAGAGCATGAGAAAGGGCTTCTGCCGCTGCATGTTTTGCATGAGGGGTGACACCCTAAAGGGAAGGAAAGAACAAAAGCTTCCATTCAAAGAAAAACAAGTCTTCTAAGCAGGTCTCTACAGATCCTTTACAAGTGCTCTTTAAGGCACTTCTCCTGTGATGCTGAGGAACCTCAGTAAAATGCCATTTAAGGATTTAAGGATATTCTCAATTTGAAATCTCCCTGTAGGCTAATCCAGGGTCTTCTTACAACATGTATAGGGTGAAATCCAATGTAGTTAGGGGGATTTTGCTAATGACTTCAGGGGACCCAGGATTCTCTACCCATCGTACTTAAGTCTCCTTCTGCATCAGCAGTTCCATCCTTTATGAACAAAGACAGATGGATACCTTAGATGTCCCTTTGAAGAATGATCTCCTAATATTGTTCTCTCATCATGTGGATGGGCCAGGGAGTCATAGTGGAAGCCTGGTGAAGGGCATCTAAAAGATGACTTTGCCCCTTAACATTATCCTTGGATCTCTGAAACCATATTCAACCAAAAAATAACTGCCAGAGAATACATTTCCTAAACCATCACTTCCTAGAGGCAGGACTTTCCTGAGCAACCACCTTCTCTTCCCCATAACCTCCTTGCTGTCTGGCATCTGTTGTTCTTGTGTTACAGCAGTGTTTAGAGGCCCACTGAAAGCAGGCATACACTGGGATGGGCACGATACAAAGACAAAGCAAGAGGGAGGCCCAGGCACCCTTCAATTTAAAGACAGACAAAAGATGGAAGTGGAAACAGAGGCACAGCAAGGGGAAGTGACTTGCCAAAGATCACACAGTAGAGCAGTAGCAGAAACTATTAGCACCCCAGTCCTCTATGTCTTGGTTCAGTGCCCCATCCACTGCACCCCACTGCCTCAAAAGGAATGATTTCATGGCAGCTGTCAAGCAGATCCTGATGTCTTCTCACTAGCTTCTGCCTTCAGATGCTACTCACTTTTACAGGCTCCATTTTCTGCATAGTATCCCATGGGACAGTCAGGAACACAGTGATCTCCCAGTAACAAGTGACGGGCATTCTGGCACTGGAGGCAGATGCTGCCAGTGTTGTGGAGATCAGCCACGCATTGATGGCACAGGGGATGGCAGTCTATGGCAAAAACATTAATGAAGACAACTGAACATGGATTGTGATGGCAACTGACAAAACAGAGTCTTGCACAGGAGCAACCACGCTGGGAGGATGCGAGAAATACATAAAGAAAGCAACACTAAAAGCCTTGTTAGTCCATATTCAGGTGTAATTCCCATTTGATGTAAAAGGGGCATAGGACCAGATGCAATGACTGCTTTTCAGGAGGTTCATTATAATGACATTAGCCGTTATTGGGCTTAGCTTCCCTTTCACCTGTATAATGACATTATTTTCAGGTACTAAGGTCTTTCCTGTGCTTACTTAGCACCAAAACATGTACACATTGCTTGAATGTTCTTGATTTCCCTTTTTCTGTGTTCAAGTATCCTCCCTGACTTCCTCCCAAAGAGGAGGGGCTTAAAGACAGTCCCTGCTAAAACTCCAGCTCTGACTTTTTTATGACTCCCCTGCAGATTGACCCTTCTGAAAGCCTTTCTGCAGGCTACCTAGATCCTAGACCCACAGGAAAAATAAGACCTATGCAACTGCATCCCTTTTCTCCTGCAGTTCATGTTGCCCAGGCTTTCCCACACAATAGAGCACCCTCCTGGATCCCAAAAAAGGCTGCTGCCAATTGAGAAGCCAAGCCAAGAATGACATTTGCGGCAAGATTAGACTGCCTCATAAACCTCTGTTTCAGCAGCGCACAAACGAATGGCTCCTGACCTCCTCCTGAACCACAGGAGTTTCAAAAGATTTTACAACAGGTCTTTTGTACAGACATAGGGACAATGTAAGGTAACCTGGAAGTCAAATTAATCCTTATTATGGTAATTCAGGAAATTATAAGACTGTCTTGAAAGAAATGTAATAATGAGGTTGGATCCTAGTACCTGGACTCCTGTCAAGTACCTATTGAAAGTTAAAACTTTCTGTCCTTTGTCCCTGAAAAATTTCACTATGGCTTACAAGGTAATCAGGGGCGACATATAGGGGGTGCATGCGGGTGCATGTGCACCCCCTGCACGTGGCGGTGCGCCCCCTGCAAAAAGGCACTGTCAACACTGCTATTACACCCCGTCCAAAAACACGCCACTCACCACCCCGCTGCCGGCCCTGATCACCCCTGGCCACCGCCACTGCTGATGGCGGCATCTGCGGTTGGTTGGCACTTGCCACACCCCACTACCACCAACAGTGCTGTCGGAGTCTGCAGGAGCTCCCTGCTGCCAGGCTCCTGCTGGTGGTGGCACAGCTGCCCTCCCACCCGCCAGGGGCACGCAGCGTTCATGAAGGTAATTGTACTCTAAAGGCAAAAGCTAGGATCTTCAAAGGAGCCTAAAGGAATGGGGGACACACTTCCTACTGGAAAGGAATAGAAATTAGAGCCTTATCCCTGAAGTAATTTTCCCATTGGTTATGCACAAGTCAGCCTCACAGAATTCATTGGGGGATGTGTGCATATGCAGCTGCAGGCAGAATGTGATCTACAGCAGCAAATTCAGTATAGAAGGTCATTAAGGTTTTCCACCTGACCCCCAGTATATCCCACTGCCTGGGGCTCTTGCTACTGCATGCCTTCAGCCTTTCCAGAGTAGTCATACAGGGTTATCATTACTTAGTCATCTAGCACCAAAAGAGCATGCGGATACCAAAATGGCAGACAACTACACCCAGTTCAATGGACACTTCATACAATACAAAAGAACCACAGTCCCTACCCTAAACACCTACCCTTGCAAATGAAGAAGGGACAACCAAAGGGAAGGAGAAGCAGATATGAGGATTAAAGTCATAAACTGGCTTTTGAATATGTACTTATGCCTCTTGATGTCAAGGGTAATAAGCACAGAGCAGCACAATTTGGCATTTCATGGTTCATGGCAGCAAAACTATTCACCTTAATTGTACAGCATGGAAGAGATACCATAGGGCCCTGAGAGATGTTATTTTTATAGTGCTACAATGTTGGTAGTGCTACAAAAATATTAGGTATTAAGGACAGTCACACATTCAGAGCCCCCTGGCTAGAGTGCCACAAAGCTACCACAAAGGCGCACTTTCCAGCCAGGGGGAAATAGGGAGCCTGTGAGTGAGATGGAAGGGCTCGTTGGCAGGTCAGCCTGATCAGCTGCTGCCACCATGGCAAGAGCTGACAGAGACAAGGGTTGCCCTGGAGCCCTTTCAAGTGCGGGGCTCTGGAGCTGCCTTAGAGCAGGGAATGCCATCACCCCGGCATTGCCAGCCCTCACAAGTCCTTTAACATGCTCAGCCTTGGGCTGCCCAAGAGCGGGGAATAGTTTTGCTACCCTGTCAGCCCCTGCCATCACTGCAGCCTTGTGCCCATTGCCACTGGGGGGGCAACAGGGACAGGGTAGTCTGCAAGCCTCCCTTACAACTTGCTACTGGGTGGGCTACCAGGGAGCCAGTTTCTCTCCCTCCCCCTCTACAACCCCATATGCTGACATTTGGTTCCATGCCACCCTGTGTGCCCAAACTAGCACACAGGGCCATGACTCATGGGGAGCCCCAGGGCCCTGATGAGATGGCGCCCAGGGAAAGATTTTGCCTGCAGGCCACCCCTGACCTAGTAAGTTTTCTATTTACCATTAAAATGCTTACTGCTTACTGGAATCCCTCCAGGTACCAAGCGGATGGAGATACCTGTTGGCTAGGCAAAACAAATCAACAAATACAAATCAACAAATACAAATACCAGAGTCACAAGCAGAAAATTAATGCCTCTGCTTAGATGTTAGACACTAAGAAACAGAAAGTGCCTGAGTTCAGTTAACCAGACTTATAACTCAGTAAGTGGACTCCTACAAAACAAGAAAAAAATGACATGTTAACGGTTTCTAAGTGCCTGTAAAGTGAGGCTATTGGGGGGGGGGTGTCTTATCTTCAGTTTTGTGTTTGTTCCTAGGAGATAAAACAGTCCCTTTAATTGGGCTACTGCTTTTCTGACAAATCTGCCCTCTATCCACCTTGTCACTTGAGTGAGTAGATATCAAAGAGCACATACACTATTAACTTTTCCCAGCAAGCAAAAAAAAACCCAATGCTTTTGGTGAGTTTGAAGGACCCTAGGGAAAAATGATGGGGAAAAGGAAGAGCAAAAGGGACTTTATAATGGAAAAGTTTATTTAGCTGTTTGAAAATGATTCCTTTGGACTAAGAATGAGTAGGAACAAAATATTTTCTTTATATTCCTAGTTCCACCATACATCATTATATTCTGGGGTTTTTTTTTTACTTCTATTTGACCCTTTAAAAGGGTGATCTGTCCCCTTAAGAAGGGGCAAAGACAGCCCTGTTAAGGATGTGGGGCATTATGTCAATGACGGCGTAGTCCACTGGGAGCTTAAAAACCCAGAAGGAGCAAGAAGGAAGCTGTGAGGGAACAGCTTGTCAGGAGAAGCCAGGCTGCTGTATCAGGAAAATGCAAGAGTGGAAAGTGCATCTTTTAATGTCTGGAGACGATGGAGAATTTCGCCTTGTTTGTGTTTTCAGGGACTGAAGTTTGTTTGGTGGGAACTGAACTATCTGAGGAGCTAATAGAATTGCTAACTGGCCTACAAAAGTCAGCATGGTAAAAGATCCGCTTAGAGACTCTTTCTCACCACTAAACATTACCCAGGGTGTGAGTCCAAGTAATTAGCTGCAGGAGTGATATTCGCTAAGATTCTCAAAGACCAGCAGTTCTCAACCTTTTTCTGATTGAGGTATGCCTCAGAAAAACCCAGTTCTTCATTTTCACTGATTTTTTTGCCAGAAAAATACTAGAGCAATTCTTTTGTTGCAAAGAATTGAGAAAGCCCACAACAGGTCAGGATGTTTTAACACTATGCATTCCTATCTGAAATCTCTACGTTTATCCTGTGAATCATGTTTGCATACCTAACAGGGCTAACATTACTTGGCACTCTGAGAAGGATCTCAAAGAACCCCAGGGTGCTGTGACACTTTGGTTGAGAAATAATGCTTAGGAGAGTTAAGCTTTCGTTGTACACAGAAAGTCAGTGGGATTTTAGCACCTAACTCCTTTAGGCTTCTTTCAGAATCCCATCCATAGTTTTCAGAGTATGGTGCTAGCACTCCTGTGATAGCCCTAGGATCCTTCCATAAATCATTTTGAAAATCACAGAGCTGTTTTTACATTAACTAGTGACTTAGCTAATGTTATATTTTCCTCATCAGGTTCTAAGTATCTTATTTCTCCACTTGCTCCTCTTAAAATCTTAGGGCACTTTTACATGTGCTCTGGGGGTGGTGGGGCAGCACTAATTAGAACGGCTCCAAGAGCCTCTCTAATTAAAGTGCCATAATGTCTCACGTATCAGTGTCCCTGTGCTTAAAAATGGCAGCAGGGGCACTTGAACTAAAGCTTGTCAAACAAGCTCTAGTTCAAGCACCCCCGCCGCCATTTTTATGCACAGGTACATGAGACATGGGAGGCTGCTGGAGCATGGTAATTACCACATTCCAGCAGACTCAATTAATTGAGTCTGCTCTGGCACGCTGTAATTACAGCACATTGGAGCAGCCTCCACGCTCGTGAACAAGCACCCTTACCAATAGGAGCACAATATAATGGGTAAAAGCTACCAGCCTCCATTTGTCTTCCACTTAAAATATAAAGAAAACAACTCCCATCTGGCTGCTGCTGACTTCCTATAATTACAGGGGAGGCCACTCTCTTGGTTAAACTAGCAGAATATGGACTTAACATGAAGCCAGAATTGTTCCTGAGGCATGAGTCAATACTCATAAAGGAGACCAGACCCCTTATTCCCTCTTTACTCTTCCATTAGCTAAGCTAGCAAACACTTGTGTTAAGTTCTTTAACTATACCTTCCCTTTTAAGGGCTCTTGAGAACATTTTTTTCCCTGGTGCATATTTAATATTATACCCATTAGGATAATAGGGTAAGTGGATAAGAACAGGGCATTATTTTAAATCAATACTTTAATACTCTGTGATTTACAGACATGTCATCATGCAAACATCCCAA